ATTCCCCGTAATCACTAATAAATTGCAATGTCCCCTGAGAGGGGACATCCAAGTGATATGCTAGAATTCCGATGTCCCCTGAGAGGGGACAGCGGAGTGCAAAGGGCTAATCTATGATTTCTTAATCCTTAAATTCAGATAACTTTCTGAGTTGGTGGTCTGAGTGATTTCAAAGGGCAGAGTAAACTTTCACAAAAGGCAAACTCAGACAAAGCAGGTATGTATTTCATCATGCCACTGTCTGTACTTTCACATAGGACTTTGCAGAAGAAGGAATGTCCATTGATTTCCCACCCTAACCATCCTTGCCCTTTTTAAAACAGTACTTGGTCCTTTCACAGCCAGGATTGGCTCATTCTTATACAGATTCTCCCTGTATATATTGAAATATTAATTGGTTCTGCAACTAAACCCCACATAGTATGCTAAGGGATCATCTCTTTCCTCTCCATAGGTATAATAATAATTCAGCTTCTCATACTGACAGTAAACCTTATTAGGCCTCAAAAGACAATGACTTGCATTTTTTCTCAGTTTCCATAAGCAGAATATCACAGTCCACCAATGAATCTATTTTTTTCTTTAATATTGATGCTTTCTTTGTCATTTGGTATTGTTGGAAAGGAATAGAAAACTGTTTTGACTTGAAGAATTTCCAGACTCCCTTTGAATTAGGTGAACTGAACTATCAACCAAGTCATTCTTATTCAATCATTGTTTTTGTTGCCAGACGCATATTTGCTAAGTTGATTTAAATTAAAATACTGCAATATCACTTGGCTCAAGGAAGATGCAGTACTTAAGCCAATACATGTCTGGATCAGAAGTTCTCTCCAGTCATCTCTATCACTGAGGAGCCCCCTTGCAATGTAGCTTAGAAAGCAACATGGTACACCACACAGCACCCCAGAAAATATTTCTTAAACATTTCTATTTCTTGGATTTGTTGTCCTTTTTGTGGAAGCCTTACTTGAATTCTTATTCATCTAGCCATTCAACAAAAATTTATTACAACATTATAGAAGGTTCTGGAGCTCTGCTAGTGATTCAAGGAAGGTGCAGCCTAGTGGAAAAGCCTGAAGATATACAGACAGTAACAGTAAGCTGGGGTAAGTGCTGTCAGGTTGTATAGGAAGACCACCTGAGCAGGTCTTATATATTCTAGAAAGGCTTTTTGGAAAAAGTGAAGTTCCACTAAGACTTAATGAATGGGTTAAAGTTAGCCAGGTGAAGGATATGAAAGGAACCAATATTAAAGGAAAAAGATATATTCATTGGTGGGCTGTGATATTCTGCTTATGGAAACTGAGAAAAAATGCAAATCATTGTCTTTTGAGACCTAATAAGGTTTACTCTCAGTCTGAGACGCTGAATGCCAAGTTATACCTATGGTGAAAAGTATTGCAAATGGAAAGAACAGAATGTTGAAATCAAGAGACAATGTGGTCTATTTAGTGAAGTACGTGTTCTGTGTGGACAGTGAGGTGTGAGGTACAGAGGTAAGCACAGCCTTTGTATAATGGCTTAAGAGGTTGAATTTATGTTTTGCTGCTGCAAAACAGTTACCACAAAACTTAGCAACTTGAAGCAATACATGTATTGTCAAACAGCATTTGAAGTTCAGACACAACTTAGCCTTATCCTCTGCTTTAGTGGCACACCAGGCTGCAATCCTGATATCTGCTGTGACTGTGGTCTCATCAGAGGCTCAATTTGAGAAAGTTTCTTGCCTTGTTAGCAGTATTGCTGAGGCTTCAGGATTGAGATTGCCGTTTGTTGCTAGAAGTTACTCTCAGTTCCTGGAAACCACTTGCAATTCTTTTTTACATGGGCTTTTCCAATGTGGGTACTTACTCTTTGACAGCTTACTTCAAAGTCAATAGGGGGCGTCTCTCTAGTGTGTCTGCCAGCAAAATAGTCATAAGTGTACACAAAGAGAAAGAGTACCATAATAATGGAAGTGATATCCTGTTCCCTTCCATTTTCAAGTATTCCATTTTCCCTTCCATATTCCATATTCAAGAAACAAATCACAGGTCCTACCTACACTCTAGGGGAGGGAACTACACAAAGGCAGGGCTAGCAGGAGTTGGAGATCATTATGGTGAGAGGGAGTATACCTTAAGATTTCTCTGAGATAGAGGTTTACACTTCAAAATGGGACTGTTGAGAGTCATCGAAAGATTTTAAGCACAGGTTTACTCTGGGAGATAGAAAACACATGGAGGGGGTACAGTTGCCACCCAGAAAACTAGCTAAGAAACTGTTGAGCAAATTAGGTAGGAGAGCAGGGGGTTCTAAACATGGCCTTGTGCATTATAGAGACTTGAAGGATAGGCATCAAAACTTAATTACTAGATAAATAGTAAAGGAGAGGGAAAGCCAAGGGTAAATGATACACACGTTCCTAGCTTGGGGATTGGTTGGTGGAAGCAGAGGACCCTGGAACATGAGCTGGCATGAGTAGAGGAGAGTTAATGAATCAAGTAGGCTCTGCCCTGATTCTCACTTGCCTGACCTCAACTGCTCTGTGACCTCAGGTCACGTCTCTCTTGCCAAGGGTGTTTGGATAAGATAATGTTGATGGAGCACAACAGATTTGCCACCATCAGAAAACTGCCTAAAACACTGTCCTTGTTAATGATAAGCCAATAGGGAATATGACTAGACATCATAAAAGAATTAAGTACTGTGTCTCCCAAAAATGGCTCTCTTAGTTGATAAGCGTTTTGCTTAAATGACTGCTGTATGCTGGAGAGCAGTGACACCCTTGATGCGTTGTCATGGTAACTAAGGCCTGTGTGTCTTTATTCTCCATGGGCTGGCTAAGGTTGCTGGGCTCTTTCTACCTCCAGCTTCCTCACTGCTGCAGCAAACAGGCCTGGGTGTGCCTCTAAATTACTGTCGGGATTTTTGTGTGTGCTATTTCCATGGAGGTGAGGTATCCTCATCATTTCTAGAAAGATACTATTCCGAGAACAATTTAAAAACCAGAATTTTGAACTAAAATGGGGATTGGTGAGCACTTAATGTGTTTCTAGATTCACTTAATTTTCTACTAAGATGTGAGAGGTGGGAAAAGTCAGAAGTTTATCAAACGAAATACACACCATCTTCAAATTACTATTGAAAAAGTTAAAATTTTTAATACAAGATGAGGAGTTCTTGCCTGCAATTTTTTTCCCCCTATGAAAAATACTCTGAAACCAGAGTGACTCAAGCAGAGCCTGGAAAATACTGGAGAATCACATGATAGCTAAAAATAAGCACATCATCTCCAGCAGGGACAGTAACCAGGGCAGAAGTAACTCGGTACGTGGAGGCTCATGCTGACTGGACATGCTTGGTGGAATCAGGCCCTCCTGCCCATCGAAGGGTCAGGCTTTGTGACCTGTTCAAGGAAGGGAGCCCCCAGGCACTGCTAGCGTTCAGTGCAGCCAGCACAGATGCACCCTGGGGCGGCACTGCCTTCCGGTGCAGCTCAGTGGTGTGCTCTCCAGGCCAGATCCAGTTATCGTACTGTGGAATAACCCTTGAGCAGTAGATTGGGAGGGACACAGGCTGACTCATAGCTCTTGTCACTGCCTACTTTTCCTTCAGTCGTCCCTTGGAATCCGTAGCAGATGCTATTAATGACAGAATGTCTTTTTATTGCTGTTAACATTGTAAAATGTCGGTTGTATTAAATAGACAGGCATTTGGTGCCTGTACTATAGGATTTCTAAATGGTAGCATTGTAAGTGATTTACCAAAAGCCACACAGGACTCCTCCAGAGCACCCAGTCCCCATGCCCAGGGTATAGTCATTGCACTGGCCTCCTATCTGGCCATTCTGTGTCTGCTGTCAACTCATACAGCCTGTTCTCCACACAGCGTGCAGAGTAGGACTCTTAAAACTGAAGTCATGTCACTTGTCTGCTGAAGACCCTCTGTAGCTTCTTTTTGCCGTCAGAATGAAATCCACCTCCTAGCAGTAACCTGTGAGGGCCTGCCCCTCTGTTACCTTCTCTCCTACATGGGCCTTGTCTGGCTCTACTCAACCCCTGGCCCCTGAACAGTTGAGACAGACTTACTCACTGGCCTCAGGCCTTTCTTCTGCCTGAAATGACCATCCAGAAGGCCAGCATCCTCTCCACCCTCTGTACTCAACTTTCTCAGTCAGAAAGTTGAAGAAATAAGGGTTACTCCTGCAACTGTCTTGCCCCTTGAAGGGATCCAACAACTATGGTGATGTTGCAAGAGTTGTTGGCTTCCATGAGGAATGAGATTTTTGAGTGAGGACCCCCACCCATGCCTGGTGTGGAGCTCACCTCCTTCTGTAAGTGCTGGGCTGCCACAAGACACCCGCCAAGAGGACTTGCTGTTTCTGACACCTGTCCTTCTGAGTGGACTCAGGCCAAGCATGGTCCATGGAAGTTCTTTGGGTCCAAGTTCAGAGTTAGACTGGAGAAAACTCAGGTGGATGCTCAGGCCCCCTCACCCGGCACTCCCTTCCTACTCCCTACCCTGCCCTGCTTTTCTCTTTTTCATGGCATTTACTTTCTAGTTTACTGTGTCACTGAGTTATTACATTATTGTTCATTACCTAACCCCCCGTTAGAACATAAATGCCACACGAACAGGTATCTTTTATATTTCATTCCTTGTTTTATCCCAAGTGCCTACAGCTTGCTGGGTACAAGTAGGGATTCAGTAAATAATCTACTGCATGAATGAATGAATCAGGGTAAGAAGGAGCACAAAGACTTGAACTATAACACACTGGTAGGTGCTGCCTGGAGGGGGACAAACCAAAGCTTTGGAGCCCATTGGTGGCTTGTGGGTTAATAAATTTTTATGAAGATTTTCTTTACATAAAATGAGCCTTGTTCCCTTATTTTAATGGTCTTTTATTAGTGTCTAGAAATGAGAAATATGTATACTATTTCATGGCTAGGTGAATCAGCTCTTAGTTGCTGTGCCGTAATAATGGGACGAGCTAACATTTATTGTATACTCACTGTGTGCCAGGCTGTCATACAGGAGATTTCCATTTGTTAACTTGTGTATTCTTCCTTGCTCTGGGCAGTGGACACTGCTAGTCCTCTCTTCAACATAAAGAAACCCAGCGAAAGTCACACACTATGTGAGTAGAGGAGCCGGGCTCCCCTGCCAACACTGCCTCCCTAGGGACAAGATGAACGATGCCAGACTCCACAGTAGGTCTTCATTCTCTCAAGATGAATGTGGTTCACGTTCGCCTGTGTAGAGCCGTCCCAAGCTGCTCAAAGGAGGAGCTGCCCACTTTTACGAGCTGACGCTGAAATAGCAAAAAGGAAGAGCCAAACCTTGCCACTGGCTGCACTGGTGGGACAGAAGCCATGTGGACTGTGAACTACTAATTTCAGAATAAAAGAACCCAACTTCTTAATGATCTCATGAATCAGGACTTCCAGAGTCCTGTTACAGTTCTATTTGGCCCGAATTCCAGCCTCTGAGGTGCTTTGCAGATTACAGAACCTGCAGAGTGAAAGTGTGGGGCAGCTTTGAAGGAAAGGCTTGTGGGGGGGGCTTGTGGGAGCAGGCACTATAGTAAGAAAGTGCTGGTGTCTCTTCAGTGATTGTGAATACTTTTTTCCTGTAGGAATTCTCTTCTCATCGTCCAGCCCCACACTCTTCTCCCCAGCAGTACCCTTATCTATCTATCTACCTATCTACCTACCTACCGACCTGGTCTATGTATCTATATAATCTGTCTATATGTAACTATTTCAACCAAGCTTATCTAGGTTAAAAAATAAAATCTATTTGCCAAGGTAAAGAGGATGAAGAAATGATGTCAGATCCACCCATAAGTGATGAATCAATGTAAATTCCATGTCTCTTCTGCCAAGTTTCTCTTGTTCTGTGAGGCTTTGTCATTACTAAAATATAATGATAGGTAACATATTCATTTCCGTCATGCAACATAATGATTCAGTATTTGTGTCTTGTGAAGTGATCCTGACAATACTTCTAGGTAACATCCATCACCACAAAGTTAGAAATTTGTTTACTTACAAAGAAAGTGTTTGAGATCTACTCATAGAAACTTTCAAATAGACGATGTTGTTAACTCTGTCGCTGTGCTGTGCATTACGTCCCAAGAAGTTTTTTTTTTTAAACTGGGAATTTGTACCTTTTGACCTCAATTTGTTTTGCCCATTGCTCCCCCTCCACACCCCCACACCCTCACAGCCCCAGCCCCCCTCCACCTCTAGTCTCCATGGGGGTTTTTAATTGAGTGAGAAGGATGGGGGTGAAGGAAACTATTCTTTCAAAACAGTGAAGAAACTGGGGATGACCGGAAGAATGGCTCCCTCCCAAGTGTGTGTTTGCACATGTTTTTAATGTCTCTGCGGTTCTTGTCAACAGTCTTAATGTCATATTTTTAGCTCCTCTGTTTATGATTTTGGCAGAAGGAATACAGCACATTATGTGAGAAGAATTTCTTGAGACCTTGGCCATGAAGGACAAAGCCAAGCACAGTGCTTTTATTTGTTTCATTGTTCTGAATTCATTGGGGCTCATCTGCCCAAAATGCTGTCGCATTTTCCATAAACATTAAGTAAGCTACTAATTATTGACATTAGACACAGAAATGCTCTGGCTTCACTAATGCAGCGAATCTGACCACTCTTTGTTTTTACAACCATGGTTAAAATGTCTTAGAATCATATTTATACACAAAGTCTTAAAGGCATTAATTAAGACACAACTGCTCAAAGACTAGCGTTGTAAATCATGTCCATATCCAGTGAGTAAATTCATGGAATTACAGGGACTTGTACAGAATTTATGTCTATTTTCCTATGCTTCTGAAACTCCTTTTTATTTTGAAAGGGAAAATTAGGGAGAGAGAAAAAAAGCTGGAGGGAAAAATGACTCTTGTAAAACAGGGCTACCACTGTTTATGTTTTCAGAGCATCATCAAATATAGCTTGGAAGAACATGAAAATGTCTGATAGGTACAGAAAAGTCTATCTGTGTTGTAGCCCGCATGGCTGCACGGTTTTCACATGAGCATCCTTGAGCAAAGAGGCATGAGAAGGTATTGAAGTCAGGGGCATTTTGGGAAACAGAAGGCAGTTGAGGACTCCAGTATCTAAAACTAGGATTAGATGCTATCGGAGACATTATTGGATCACTTCACAAAATTGAAATACAAGTAGTGGCTTACATGAAAGTATTATATCAATGTCAAATTTCTGATATTAGTAACTGTACAGTTCTCTGATAAAATCCTTACTGTAGCAGCCTGGATAAGTGGGAAAAGAATATCTGGTATTCACAGAAATTGGGTACACTTAAGAGTATGGTTAGTGGGCCTCCCTGGTGGCGTAAGGGGTTAAGCACCTCGATATGAAGCAATCTGCAGCCTCTGCAGCATGAGTTCGATCTCCGGCCGGGTAGCAACTTACATGGCGCAGCACACCTCTCCTGTCTTGCCCGCTGCTCCTCTCAGCAGTGTATTTCAGTCACTCTGCCTGTTCTGCTTCCCACTCTGTCTCTGGTGAATCCTCTCCCCTCACCCCCACATCTCTGGCCTGTACCCCAGCTCTTGTATGCATAAATAAATAAATCTTAAAAAAAAAAGAGTATGGTTAGTGAAAAGAAAACAGCAAGACTTCAAGCAATTAAACAAAGTATAGTTCTTAACTGTCTAATGAGTGTGATGTGCTTTAGGGTGTTGTTTATTATTCTAAAAATAAACAATGAAGTTATTAAAGCTAATAAACCAAAGATTTCATTTTTACAAATTTTGGTATTTAGAATATCTCAGTGCATGTTAATAATGTGATAACTGTGAGGGGTAATTACTTTGGTATCAAATTGCATCTTGTGATGTTTGAAAGAGCTCACTTTACATTCCTTTGAAAATTAGCTTTTAATTTAACCCTTAATTGTATGGTTTTTTAAAACTCTAAACTTCTGAAGATGCTAAGATCTTCCCCTTTGTCTTTCTTGTTCTTTCATTCCTTTGCATTTGTTCCTCAGAAATGATAAATGAACAGTTAGCTAGTGCTGACATGTCATAGCCTCATTTAGAAGTTTTTTCCCTGTATTTCTTTCCAAACAATATATTCTGAATTTAAAAATCATTCTAATTTTTAAATTTCAAATGCTAATTACTCAATTGATCTATTAAATTTTTCAAATTTGTTATCCAGTCCTTTCTTTGTCCAGCCTACACCTTGCCCCCATTTAGAATCTCTCACCGGTGGGGGCAGAAGCTGGCCTTCCATCCCAGGTGTGGTGAGTAGAGATGGTGGCTCATGGGTCCCACCCCCTATTCTCTACCACCCCTATCCTCCCCAGCACCTGAGGATGCCAAGTCTGATTATCTTTGCCTTCATCTTTCTCACATGAAGGAGATCCACAAGCTGTGTGCACATAGGCCAGGGAGAAAGCCCTGGACTTTCGCCCCAACTGACCTTCACATGAAATAAAAATGCCTTCCTAAGGCCAGGACTGTGAATTATGGTTTGATGAGTCAGACCCACACAAGCATATCTGAATTGGTACTGTCCATAGGAAGAAGTTGCCTCAGGAAGAAGTAGGTTTCCCTGTGAGACTGCATGTGGATAGAGCAGCGACAGGTTCAGCAGCTCCCAGGTCTGCGATGAGCCACATAGGGTGCTCCATGGCCCTCTGTGGCTCTCCCAGCCAGCTTTCTGCTTCTTTCTAGTTTTTCTTCCCCGCTAACTTGGCCTTGCACTCATCTTGGCTTGCCATGGCCCCTTCTACCTCAAACATCACAAATCTTTTTTCAAGCTGCAGTTGATGATGTCCTGAAAATATAGTTAGTGGTTACAATATAGTTACAAGCAGTTAGTTTCAAGCAGTTAGTTTCTATTCCTTCCTGGTTTTCACAATTTGCATGAGGCTGGATAAAGCAGAGTAGGAGAATCAGGTATGTCCAATTAGCCTAAATCAACAGGTTGCAGCCAGCCACATCATAGCTGCTGACATTCGGGGATGGGGGGAGCTGTCCAGCATGGGTGGGGAATGTGCTTTCTAAGGAAGCCCCTGCAGCTTCTGCAGCATTTTCCTTCAGAAGAGGCCAGTGAACATGCAGAGCCTTGGCCAGCCTGGCACAGACCACCCTGCCGACTCAGCATTAGCCATATACTGACTGATTTCACCCACTTGAACTGTGGCCCTGACTCTGTAGATAGGGCCTAAGTGATGATGGAAGGTGCTCTTGTCAGAAACCATTGTATTCTGGGAGGCTGCTGATTACTTTTTTGGTTTCCTTTGGGTAGGCTGGCTCTGCCTGCTGGTTACTTTGATGTTGGCATCAGCTCCTCCAACTTTCTCTAAGCTTTCACCCCTGGATAAATGCCTCTTGTAGGAGTTGTTAATGAATTATAAAAACTTTGTTGAGTGTCTCCTAAGGGTCAGCCCAGTGATTAGCCATGGGACCATAAAGTGGCAAACAAAACAGATGCAACTCCTAACCTCGTGGAGTTTTTTTTTTTTTTTTTTTTTTTAAGATTTATTTAAATCTTAGCAAGACAGGAGAAGTCTGCTATGCCATGTGGGTAACTCCCTGGCCGTCCGGGAATCAAACCGGCGCTGCAGAGGCTGCGGACAGCTTCACAGCACTGCGCTCAACCTGCTGAGCCAACCAGGGAGGCCCCTCGTGGAGTTTTAAGTCTAATGGAGGAGGTATGAAATAAATAACTGTGCCATTACATGGGTGGGTGCCAAGCAGCGACATTTGAGGTGCATCCTGAAAGCTGGTAGACTTAGTCACTTGGAGGAGATGAGAGGAGTGTTCCAGGCAGAGAGACTATAGGACCATGCAGTGGAGAATGCTGCCTTGTTCCTGAGAATTTGAGGGCAGCCATGCCTGGACCATTTGAGGCAATTCTTCCCCCCATCAGACCCCACGCGTTCCTGGAGAGCAGGGGTCTCCAGCACAAGGCTCATGGTTAGCATATAATAAACTTATACTCCAGGGGCCTCCCTGGTGGTGCAAGGGGTTAAGACACAACATTGTGAAGCTACTGTCAGCCACTGCAGCACCTGAGTTCGATCCCCGGCCAGGGAGATGACCCACATGGCACAGCAGGCCTCTCCTGCCTCGCCCTCTGCTCCCCTTAGCAGTGTATTTCAGTAGATCTGCCTGTTCTGCTCCCTACTCTGTCTCTGGTGAATCCTCTCACCCCCCATACCTCTGACCTGTACCCCAGTTCTTGTATACATACATAAATAAATCTTTAAATAAAATAAACTTACACTCCGTAAATCAGAGGTATTGATCACAGTCTTTTGAACTGCTTTCTGTTATACTTTCTTTATATGCAATATGACATATTGCTTGTAAAAAAGGTCTGCAGCAACTTGATTTTTCAAAAGCTGCTTTCCCAGCTGTGCTGGCTGGTGGATCCCCTTGCAGAAGGCACTCTGCCAGTCAGCCCTGCCTCCCCAGCTCTTCTCCACATGTTTTCTTCTCCCTGTTGGCTTGGCCCTTCCTTAGAGAACTGGCCAGTGGAACTTGGAAGGAGTGCTTCAGGAGTTCTTATATGGACTCCTGCAGAGATGAGGGATCTTGCAACTGTCTCTGAATCACAAATAAAACATCAGCTCTCTAGATTCCTTGGAAACCTTTCTGCATAGGTAAGGGGTCTGTACCATTACAGGTCACTAAAGAATTACCCTTTGAAATATTTTAAGATATCCCTTGTGCTTTTAGATGATTTTTTTTTTTTCTTTATAGCAGAGAGGCATGTGTTTTCAAGGGAGTGATGCTGTCAGTGTTTCTTGAGGGTGCATATGGTTTTGCAATCCTACTGACTGTAGACACCTAAAGACATAACAACTACAAATTTTATGGTCTTCCTGCTTGCTACTTTGTAATTAAGAAATTGGTTGAAACCTGTAACTGCTGTCAGCACACTTCCCTTTAAAACCCTTGATCTTTATAACCTGTTGGTACTGATAAACTGTAAAGTTGGAAATACACTATAAAATTGGAAGCAGGTTTTATTTACTTGCTCATGTATTTATTTAAATATTTGTTCCTTCACCAAATATATTTTCAACCAAGCTTTGTGGTAAGCAGTGGGATTACAAAGCTGAATAAGACATGTTCCTTGCCCTCCAAGATCCTTCTAGAGGAGCAGTGGGGGATGGTGGTGTAGAAAAGGGCCAGTGGAGACTGTGGGAAGGAAGCCTGCCCCAGACTGACCTGCCACCTGGTCAGAGAATGAGTGGGTCCCCAGTAATGGGCCCCTCAGTTTCTCATTCCATGAAGTACAGATGTTCATTGCATACACATTAAGAACTTCTGTTTTAGCTGCAGAGACCATTTCCTATGTCCGTGCCATATTCTAGAGAGAGAGAGGTTCTGTCTTGACCAACCTCTAGACAAGTGAGGTCTTGCTGAAATCAGTGTGCTGGTCTTTTTTTTTTTTTTCAGTTTATATTATTATTAGTAACATTGTTGAATCACTTTAAGCTGCTAATCCCCAAGCCCCCCCCACTGTTCCACACCTTTCCCCCTATATAATAAGTCATTTATAGGGTAATAGTTTCCACATATGCCTGTCTTGTTCCCCACAAACTTCTCACTTAATGTTTTAGAGTCCATCAACGAATCTCTCCAAAGTCCATTTAGTGGCTCAGAAGAGTGACTTTTTTAGTTGTAACACTTCTGTGTTTACTAGCTGCTGGTGTACCATAAAGATCATTCCATCGTCCTTCTCCCTTGCTTCCTCCCCTGTCCTTACGAACTAGCTTTTCATTGGCCCAATGCATCACAATACAATGCAGCCATTATTCTTTCTGACAGGCACTCTCAAGTGTGGGGAAGTGGGAGTCCCTTCAAGCTATACTTCGTGGAATAAGCTCTGACATTCATCCTTGAGCATATCCCAGATTTTTGACAACCAGGTGTCCTAAGCTCAGTTTGTGCATCCCCGGCATTATCCCTGGAAGCAGCCATTTCTCAAAAAGCCCATTTATTGAAGCCTCAGGAGCTGCTCTGGTGATATCATTGCTCCCAGGGTCTTTCTATGTTTAAAACTAGGAAGACATAGTGAAAGAGAAAAAACATATTTGTATTGTTATTCTAAAGTGTTCATCTATATAAAGATGGTTTTGTTTGTTGGAAACTCAGTTATGATCCTTTGAGTTTAAGCATCTTTCCTCCTTAAAAGAAAACCTTAAAATCCTTTATATCTGTTGCTCTTATTTCTCTGAAAGAAGACATTGTGTTAATTTTATGTTTCTTTAAAAAAAACATACTCAGAAAGGTTAAATTGGTTGCCCTAAGCAACCCTAATGTTTGTGTGTGTGTGTGTGTGTGTGTGTGTGTATGTACACACGCACAAGTGTTGCCGTGGTACTTCTGATAACTGAGGTATCACTTATACTTTTTAGTAAACTCCTTTCGTATCATATAGTTTCTATAAATCTAAAAAGAATTTCTGATGTTGCCAATGTTTATCATTTATGCTGGTTCCTTTCAGGTGCGGCTAAATCAAGTCCAGCATCTAAACCAGGATCCACGCCTTCTCGTCCCTCATCAGCCAAAAGGGCTTCATCCAGTGGTTCAGCATCCAAATCTGATAAAGATTTAGAAACACAGGTCATACAGCTTAATGAACAGGTAACTCATCATCCATGGCCCTGTCTCTGGTCGCAGTGGGAAAAGATAAGGTAGTAAACCCCGATAGGCTGGGGAGAAGGGAAGGCAGGTGAGGCAGAATCTGTGATTTCAAGCAAGCAATAATAAAAGGGATTATTTAGGCAGATAAAATCAGTGCCACTTTATGAATAAAAGTTATTAGTCACAAATCCCAAGCTATACATTAAGACAGAAAGACAAATGACTCAGCCCCAGGTGAATGCAGGCTTGAGGCCCAGCCTCCTTTCCCCAGAACCTCATCAGTCTTGAGCTCCAGACTAGACCATGGCTTACCTGCCCACTTCTAGCTAGTCTAGATAGTGTCCTAAGGCTGTAGGGTTAGTCTGCTTGTCCCCTACCTGCTTTCCCCCAATCCTTTCCTTCACCAACTATTAAGCCTGTTCTGTGTGACAGCCACTAGGTTGTTGCTAATGATTTAATGGTAACAAGATAGATACCTTCCTGCCTCTCCTAGAATTTATAGCAGTTGCACACAATAGGCTGTTATGCAAGCAAAAGCAAAAAACACTTCCTACAACAGACAAAGTTCAGTGCCACAGGAACTCCGAACCTGATGTTGGGGGAAATCAGAAAAGTCTCAGTTGTGTTTTAAGCTTAACTCTCTTTTTTATCTAATATTCCTCATGATTATAGTAAATCTAGTTCTACTGCCTTTGAAATGTTCAATATAAAAGCTTGTGTACACTTTCTCACTAACAATAGTTTATTTCCCCTAAGATTATCCGTAGTTTAAAAGTAATAAAAGAATTGGTAGCGTAGGCCCCCTGCAGAAGCTGCCTACCCTTGGCTGCTCCTACTGCAGGGAGAAGAACCTTTATTCTAAGTCTTCAGGCTGTTCCCAGCCACTCACTGGGCCATTCCTAGTGATTAATCTGCATCTTGATGAGCCAGCAAGAGTCTGGAAATCGTTTTTGAGATAATTGTATATTTGCAATCAAGAATCTACTTTAAAAGCAGGCAGTTACTTAACTAGGGTATTTTTTCCCAATTCTGACCACTTTAATGAAAAAGGTGAAACCCTAGGTCATCCGGTGAGTAGGACTTTGATTTAGAAACTAGAATGTTCTAATGACCTGCTGATTCTCAGCTTGAGTCCATCTAGAATTTCCAGTAATGAGTTCTCAGATAAAAGGCAGTTAAGACAGCCATAGTGAGCCTTGGGCCACATTCCTAAAACTCCAAGCAAATCAGGCTAGACCTAGAGAGAATTAGGCCATGGCTTTATAACACTTTGGATTTATGATTCTTTTCTCCTTGGGAACTCAAAATTTTTTGACATCTTTATTTTCTCAAATTTCCTTATGACTTTCCTGTCATCCCCTCTCCGCACCCAGGTTTATAATCCTCCAGCCTGTGTAATCACACGGAGGCCTCAAGGTCCTTCCTGTCCTTCACAGCCTCAGCCAGTCAGTGTCAATTAGACCCCTTAGCTGACTCTCCAATCACACCAAGAGCTCCATAGCCCCAGGGGACCTAGACCTCATCCTACCATCCAAAATGCCACTCTAGACACAAGAGCAAGAAAAGAGAAACACTTCAGTGATCTTCCTTCTTATTATTATTTCTTCAGTACTTCCAAGAGCTTCACTCCCCTGCCTGCCACCCCCACCCCTGCCATGTATTCACATCAAGGAGGAGTGTGCGTGTGCCTCCTTTGTCCTTGACAGGGAAATTCTGAGCCTACATGACAAGCTTTTACTGAACACTTACTCCAGCTCAATTTCCATGATGATTGTTTTGTTTCTTCCATTTCCTGTCCTTAAAGGCTACAGCTACACCCCACCCCACCCTGCCCCTGACAAGCTGCTGACTAACTACATGGGCATCTGTGTGTAGGAACTGAGGACACTAGGATGAGAGGGGCTGAGTAAATATGCCTCACTGAAGAGTGAGTTACAAGAGCCATAGAGCAAGTGACAAGTGCCATAAACTTTAAGAATTCTCATTTACTTGGCCTCAGGCCTTTATTCCCATGACTTACTATAAGAGTACCACGATGCTAGACCATTCCATTGACAGAAATTAATCAAAACACATAAGGGAGGAACATGACTTAAATGAAGGACTGTGTCTGGGCAGTGGGTTAGCAAACAGGCAGTGGGTTAGAGTCACTGCTATCCTCAGGGGCCACTGGGGGGCTGGAGGGTGGCTCAAACTGCTTGGGAGGAGGTCAGTGTGTGGACATGGAGAGGTGGGGAGAAATGGAAGAACAGAACAGCACCTTTCATTTCTTTCCCTTGCGTTTTCCCAAGGGTTCATCCCCCAAATCCACCAATTAAGCTCTGCTGTGACATGTGAGGGAGGGAGGAGGCATTGGTCTTTGTGAGCAGACTGTGAAAATGGAATTTCATTTGTCAATTGCTATTTTATCATACAATTTAGCTCCCATTGGCTTTCACTTGGGAATGTTTATAACTGTGCATGTATTACCTAATGCATCTGGAATACCACCAAAGGCTGACCTGGCTGGTATTTCTACAGAAGCCTCAGTGCTTTGCTCATTGTGTAGACCAAAGCCCTCTGGAGAGGCAGACCAACCTAGTTTTCATGGGCTTAATGTGTCTGGAGACCCTTCTTGCCTGGTCCGAGGGAGCTGACAGATACCAGAAACCTAAACTGCCAGAGTTGCATCTACTGGCACCAACCAACACAGGCTTAAGAAGGATTCTGTGGCCACGTCTGGGGAGAGGGGTGGTTTGTTTTAAAGTAAGACAGAATTTCTGGAACAAAGGGAGTTTTCTTTTTTCTGGAATTCAGGCTGCTGGTTGCCTTCAGTTTTCACAAATGTCCAAACCATAGTATTATTAGACATAAGAGTTAAAGGTTAGCCAACTCATGCTGCACTGCTTTGTGAAAAGATACATGGGGGCTTCAGTGAGGTTAACTTGGAGGGACCAAATCCCTGAATCTGACAGGATCCATGTAAGTCCACCAGGTGCACAGGAGAGGACAGACACTGGGTGTGCTCAGTGTATGTTTAAATGAGTCATTAATTCTGGGTAGGTAAATAGTTGCATGAATGATCAGAGTTATTAGAAAGAGAAAATTTTTCATTCCAAATGTAATTATTGAAAATTCTGTTAAGATTAATTTAAATGAGGGTCTCCCTGGTGGCGCAAGGGGTTAAGCACCTCACTGTAAAGCAATTCACAGCCTCTGCAGCACGAGTTCGATCCCTGGCCAGCCAGAGAGCAACCCACATGGCGAAGCCGACTTCGCCTGTCGTGCCCGCTGCTCCCCTCAGTATCAGTCAATCTGCCTGTTCTCCCCACTCTGTCTCTGATGAATCCTCTCACCCCCCCCCCACACACACACCTCTGGCCTATACACCAGTTCTTATATGCATAAATAAATAAAAATAAAATCTTTAAAAACATTTTTTTTTAAATTTATGGCTGTTCAATGCCTTTTATCCCCCACAACTATCCCTTATACCTCTTTGACTCTTTTTCTCTCTCCTCCCTCTTAACCTCAGAAACTCTGCTAATTTTTATAAGTGTTTTGCTTTGTAAGATCATGTGTTATGTGAATATCCAATATCTGTTATTCTGGCTTGCTTTATTACACATAATGCCTTTGAAATGCTTCCATTTTGCTGTAAGTGGTGACATTTTGTCTCCTTGTGGCTGAGTAGTATTCCATAGTGTGGGTATACCACATGTTCTTGATCCAGTCCTCTATCAATACGCACTTTGGTGGTTTCCATGTCCTAGCTATATAAATAATAGTGCAATAAGCATTATAAAGCACATAATTTTTAAGTTGATGGTTTCATGTTCTTTATTTAGTTAGCTGCCCTTAGTGGGATTGCTGGATCATACAGTATTTCCATTTTTAGCTTCTTAAGGTAAATCCAGATCACTTTCCAAAATGCACAGCCTTTCTCTTTTACCTCCTCCCATTTTGTCATCCCCTCTCCCAGCAGACCATGATCAGGGTTAGAGAAAAATGTGCCGTAGCCCCTGCTAGCAGGGGAGGAAAGCTTCCTCAGGGCCTGTATGGGACAGCATGGAGCAGAACGATCCCCCAGCCCTGGTTAATAGACACTCAGTTGACCGCAGGCCATGACTAGTGTGCTGTGAGGCTGGGCGTCTTGGCCTACACTCAAGCTCCAAACAACAGCCCCTTGTTCCTCCTCAGACTCATACAGCAGTCATTTTTACATGTCTGTCTTTTCACAGTTCTGGCCTTTCTCTGCAGGCATCACTGGTCACATATTTCTTATGCTATATTTTAGGGTCTTCTCACCTGTGCTTCTTACAGGTACATTCGTTAAAACTTGCCCTGGAAGGTGTGGAAAAAGAAAGGGATTTCTACTTTGGAAAGTTGAGAGAGATAGAGCTACTCTGCCAAGAACACGGGCAGGAAAATGATGACCTCGTGCAGCGACTAATGGAAGTCCTCTATGCTTCAGAAGAACATGTAAGTGAAGTGGGCCACTGACTCAGGGGTTCTGAGGTGACCCTCTTGATTAAAGTGCAGTGATTGGCATACCTTCAGATGCTACCCTGGGACCTCACTGAGAATTACAGCCCAGCCAGTGCATTCAGTAGTCCCAGCGGAAAAGACATCATTATCACCATGATCCATTGACCCATGCCTTTGGGACATGCATTCATCCATCAGTCAGGAAGATACGGGTGGGGGTGGATAGAAAGGACTTGAGAAAAGCTGGCTTATGTATACTGCCAAATCTAAAATGGTTTTCAGCTCTGTGAGCAAATGAACTATGTGTAAGGATTCTTCTTTCCTATTGACAGATCAGAGTATGGTTTTCCAATCTCCATAAGCCCCTCAACTGTCTGTTTTTATAGCTGGTTGTCTTGGTTACTTGTTACAGCACTGTAAAACAGCCCTTTAGGCTTCTAGAAAGTCTCCTCGGTGGGTAGGGGGCTCTTCCACAGGACTTGCTGCTCATGAGTGAATGCTGATGGGAGACCGCAGGTGTGGCTCTGCCAGGTGATAGAAGGCAGGTGTGAGGAGGAGTGGCAGAGGAACTAAATGCCGAAGAAGGAAAAGGGGTAGCATAAATAGCAGAAGCCAAGGTGGGTCACCCCAGGTCTGCACATGTGGAAGGGAGAAGCCCCAGCAGCCGGAGTGGAAGCCTGACAGAGGTTGGCCTTCCACTGAGTCACTCTTTGGAAGTGAGGGAGGACAGACTGGATGTCCAGCTTCTCCTTATACCAGGTCAAAGCTGGTAGAGGCTTTTGGGTCTGTTTGTTCAGAGGCTTGTGGAGCTTCAAGGGCTCTGTGGTTGAGTTACGTGTGTGTCAGTATTTCCACAGAATGTAGCAAGCCACCATGGAGTTTACTTTAAGTCTGTTCCCTCTGAATACCAAACAAACGTTTACTCCATGAAAGATTTTAAGGTTTTAAGTCCTAGTGATGAAATTCTCCAAAACTGGGTTTGGGGATTCCCCACCACTTATTTCATTTCCTGCAGGGTTTGGGTGGTTTTTGGGTTTTTTTTAGCATTTTTCTTGGTTATCATTAGTTCAGACTGTAGATCTTGACACCTTGAGTATCCACCTGGCCAGGTCCCAGAAGCATTGGTGGTTTCACAAAGTACGGTTTTCAGTATTTTCAGATCTGCTGGGAGAAACCTAGGGCTGATTTCTAGTGCGTCTGCACCAGAGTGGCACGAACAGGATGTTCTGTGTGTAAATAGTGCTTTGTAGTCTGTCAGGCACTCCATGAATTATGGTTATTCTCTTCATAAGGTTGAGACTAACTCCAGTGAGGTCTACACAGCACTATGTGCCTGTGTGAACAGCGCTGTTGTCTGTCCATGATAGTTCTTGTTGACAGAAGAAAGGTCTGTGCAGGATGGAATCTCCCCAACCATGTGCTTCTAATGTGCGGAAAAGCTTTCTTGTACTAACCTTAAGTGAGGTCTTCTCCCAAGAGGTAGGCCTGGCATTGGAGAACTGTTGGATGGACTCCAAACTAAAAGCTGGCACGGACCTTTGAATTCCTGGCTAATGGCAAGCAGGGGCCTCCTGGATGTGAGAGGGAGGGTCTGTCTAGATGACTATACTCGACTTCTCTTACCATTCATGTCCCCACTGCCCACCCACACACCCAACACCAACTTACTATGGACTGGAATCAGTGAGCCTTTCTTACAGTATGTGGACCGTAAAAGCAGATACCTGAAGGAGAAGTCATACTTTAAAGCAGGTTCTTTCCTCAGACTCTTGGGATGAGAGTTGAAGGGAAGAGCCAAGAACTTTCTGTTTCTCAGTTCTGTTCATTCTGTTGAGAGTGCCATTAAGTAGACACGTTGTTTTTCCATTTTACACATGAGAGAAACAGAGGCAGTAGTTCCCAAGTAATTTAAATAGAGTCTTTGGCATTTGAACCCTAGAGTCCTGAGTGTATGCTCTCCCTTCTCCAAGGCTTAGAGATAGTAACCAGACAGTTGGAATCCAGAAAGGAAAAATAGACTTAACATAAACTGCATGTGAGGGTAGCCACAGCAAAATCTTCAAAATGCAGTTATTGCCTTCATTTTTCTATTTCCAGGATATCTTCTAATGCAGCGCTGTGTCTAGACAACTCCAAAAGAAATCTGTCAGGCTATAGTGAGTTTCCCTTGGAGACTAAGCCACTTGATCTGGTCTGTGCCAGGTGTCCTGTTTAGAATGTGATTAACACCCATTTTTGAAAGCCTTGTTTTCTGTGTAGAAAGAAGGGAAAGACTATGCTGTGTACCTGGTCACTGCTGGGTATTTTTTGACCACTGCTTGCACACACGCTGCTTTTTGCTGCTCCTCCTAGAACTTCAAGGAATTGCCTTAAAGCCCTCATGCGTTAGCTTTCACCCCTGAGCATAATGAGTCCTAATTTCACTTGGCAGCACCCCAGAAGCATACCCAGTTCTACCACTGGGGGAGTGGGCCTTTAAAAAACTGGCCCTCTAGCTCAGAAAATACATCGTTTGGGGGCGGGACAGAGGGATGTGCTCAGAGGTTGCTGTGTCACTGCACCCACCGCCCAAGCTCTCAGAAGCTGCCTTTCTGCCCCAGGCACTGGCCCTGGCACTGGATCCTACTCTCAGGTCATTCGCATGCTTCTGTGGTGGGTGATTTGCACCGCCCTGCAGAGATGACACACAGTGGTGTTGGGAAGAAATGCCACCACTTTGTTCATGATGCTGCTAGTCTGACTGTAAATGCTCATCTGAGAGGGAGAGATTCCTGGAGATAAGACAGGTATTCATTCATCTGCTTGGTTAGATACAGTGCCTTCTCTTCAGTTAAATATAGGTGAACCGACATTGAAATTTCAGGGGAAAGTGTTTGCTAGAGAGGTCGCTTCCCCAAGTCTTTATCTGGCAATGGCTAGTCTTTTATTCTTATACTCAAGCATCCCTAGAATATCATGTTTGAAAATCTAAATGGGAGTTTTGAGTACAGAAGTTAAAAGGTTGTTCAAGTCCCAGTTTCAGAAACCTGATAAATGTTCACAGAGTAAACCACCAGGCAGCTACCCAGGCCCCCCTCTTTATTTTTTCCCTCAATACTTAACTTGGAAGCACAGGTATCCAGGCTTAGTCATTGACAGCTCCTGTCTAATGGATCTGTCAGCCCAGATGCACCTGCTTATAGACGGGTGCTAATTTCCTGAGATACTGTCACAGAAGTCACTGTTGAATGACCTAAAAGTCTGTCCCACCTCAACCAACACCTTTTGGACACAACCTGTGTTTCTGTCACTGGACGAGGCATTGGGTATATGGGAAGAAGACAGCCCCTGCCTCAGAGGATCTACAGTCCCAGTGGAGGAGACAGACAGGAATGCTGTCAGATTAACTGGAATGTGTCACATTATGATAAATGTGATAATAGAGACATAAATAAACTTGTGTGGAGAGCACATGAACACAGCCTGGAGGGACAAGCAAAGACTTCACAGAGAAGACGACTAGTAATGTCAACAGTTACTGAGCTCAGATAGGGAGAGTATTTTTCAGGCAGAGGAAGCAGCATGAACAAAGCAGAGAGTAAGGGACAGCCAGATGTGGCTGGCATAGTGGTGGCAGATGAGGCTGTTGAGTGCTGCCTCATACATCACAGCTCTTTGGTGATGCCCCCTCCCTCCTTTGCCCACATTTTCCACCCACAGTGCCCAGAACCTTATTCAGTACTATCTCCGAATTTGCTTCTCTTTCTAATGATTATAATAATTAGAATAAGGGACTCTACTTCAGTCACTCACAGCTAAACATTTAGAAAGATGGGATGGATTAATAGGCAAATATTAGAATTGATTAAGCAGATGGCACTCCAGTGCATTAGTCATATATCATATATCTGGCATAGGTTTTGCCTGGCCTCCTGCTTATGTGTGTGTGTAAGTTCTTTGCTCTTGCATGGGTCATTTTTTTCTCGGTGAGCCTCTACAACACTGTGTTGTAGTGTGCAGAGTATGAGAGTGCAGAGTATGAGAGAACAGGAGCACTCTGTAGGTCTCCATGTACTCCCCAACTGCAACACAAAAAAGTTATGTGTTCTTAAAGCAACAGTCAGAACTTTTGATAAACCATACTCCTCCTGTGCTTGGGTAATAAAGAGCTCATTATTCTTTGTGAGGTCAACAACTTAAAGCTTTTGCAGATATGACTGACTAGAGTCGATATTCCCTGGAGTTGATTTTCCTGGTGGGCTTCCCTAGATTACGCAAGTGAATAAATAGGTCCGTGAGCCAAGTACAGGAACCCCTCACTCATCTATATCACAGGAAGAACAGAGTAAGCAAATAAGACCTCCAGCACTGCATAGATGTCCCAAAATCCTTGAGCTAAAGCTCCTGAGCTTCCTTATTGGAGAGGGCCCCTAGCCCACTGCAGCCTACAAAATGTAGTTTTCAGTCCCGTGTTACCTTTCCCATGCTAATAGGTTGCTTCTCTGCATTAGATCAGTAACAGATTATAACATAGGGCCTACTTCAAGCAGAACTGCTACCAGGTCAAGAGGAGGATGGCATGGCAGGAAATGGACCAGAAGCTTTACATCGTGGGCCATTAGTGTCAGAATAACCCTCCGACACACCAGTGGGGCCTGGGCTCTTAGTGCATCGCAGCAGGTCCACTCATGCTTAGCATGATGTTCTTGAGCCCCTGCTTTGGTTTACTTCTGGCCCTCCTACAGAGGATAGGAAAGTCTGTAATCAATTCTGTGAAAATTTCCATACCAAGCTGGAAGAGATAATAATAAATGAAATCAGCCAGAAGGAGAAAGACAAGTCCCGGATGGTGTCACTTTTATGTGGAATAAAAAAACAAAGGGTCAGATAAAGCCAAACTGAAAAACTAACTCTTAAAACTTGACTGCAGAATGGGGGCAGCTAGAGGGGCAGGGACAAGATCAAAGAAGGGAGGCAGCACAAGGGTGTGTGGTGGTGGGCTGTGGCTTCCTTGGTGGTGGGGGCACCATGGGAACCATGCCTAAAGGGGGGATCCTCCACTTCTATTATGGAAACAATGGTGTAACCCATACTCACTCAATAAGAAAGATTTTTTTTTTTTAAGCAAGAAAATTTCCATATCAAACAAAAGACAATTTGGTGTGTAAAGCCAATGGCTCCTGGTCGGAGCAGGGAGGTGAAGGCGTCCCTGGTGTGTACTGAGTACTGGCTCCAGGGAGCTGGAGACACTTGTGTGGGAAGCTGCGCCTAAGCCTGTGCTCCCCACAGCCTGGGGACACTGTGCTAAGCAGTAATAATGGGGCTGAGGGTACTGCCTCAGTAAGTGTTTCAGCTGAAACTTCTCCCCCCATACCACAGGAGGGCCACCCAGAAGAGCCAGAAGCAGAGGAACAAGTTCATGAACAGCAGCCCCAGCAGCAGGAAGAGTACTGAACCGTCTTGGCATCTCTCAACACTTCCATTTTGTGTGGGAACTTTTCTTCTGGAGAATTGGAACATGTGTGGCCTCAAGCTCAACAGAAACCAGTTGTTCCCAATCTGCCGTTACATCAACGCACTGCTGCACACGCCAGCCACTGAGCTCGGTTCCCATTCCCTTTGCCAAGACACATTAGCAGCCGGCCTTTCTGGCCACCTACCTGAGAGATCATGGGGTCACATACCTTCAACTTCACCACTTGGCTGCTTGAGATTGGTTCTGCTCTTTTCATTTCTTTCCAGAACAACTCTTCCCCACCCCACCACCACCACTACCACCACCACCCCCTTTTTATCCTGGTGTGAAACAATGGTAATTTGATATATGGTATTTATATTGGCATTTCTCAACCCAGTGTCACTAGATATCACACACATTCGTGGTGCTTTGATGTTTGCAAGTCTAACCTCTGAATATAAATTTGGTCAAATAATGAATTGGAACAAAGGGAAACAGATACTTGAGATGAAAGCCATAATGACAGTGACTTGTTTCACGGGGGAAAACAGTCAGTTTCTCCCTCTACTTACAACATGAAAGGGGAAAAAAAATGGTTTTGAAAGTAAGACTTCAGGGCCCAGCAGTGTTCATACATCAGCATGTTAAACAACCACACAGTATGTTGTTAGTTTTGAAAGACATTCACTCAAGGAAAACCCCATCTCAACTTGGCCCTCTGAGTGCTTGCCCCTGCCCTCCCACACCCAGGTTCTCATGCTGTTTTCTTTCTCAGGGTCCCCTTAGGTGGGCAACCACTCTTCCCAGGAAGCTGTCATCCCTAATCTGCAGTCCAAAGGGGGGCTGCGTAGGTACAGGTCCTCCTGCCCTGGTCCCTCTCCCTCCTTGTGCGGGTTTCAGCCCAAATCCTGTCATCCACACTAGGGGACTTCTAAAGAATGATGGTGCGCAGCCCAGTTTCGGGGTTCTGCATTGGGCTGCACACTTACTAGAAGGCTAGCAGTGAAGATCTTATTCATAGGAGCCTAATTCCAGGGGAGAAACCTGGCTCTGAAGTCTGGTGTTGACACTGGAATGAGAGCACAAGAAAAATCTATGACTCCCAGAACCTTCTGGAATAAGGCATTTCCCCTCTTTAATACTGCAGCCCTCAATGTCATTGACTTTTGCTAAACCATGGCAATTCGTAAATAGAGGAAACATTAATGAATTTGAAGCATTCCTTATTTTTTTAAACTAATATTTGCACATTTTCTTAGTATCTTTCAAAATCTTTGCCTTTTTTTTTCCCCCCATTGACAGATGGTATCCCTTCCTGGGTCCTTCATTTCACTTGGTTTCTAACTTTAGATTTACTTTCACTTGTTATTTGACTTAGCAGGTGCAACAAAAACAAGAAACAAGTGTGCCCACCTCACTCTCCTCTTAACTGAAAAGCTTAAAATAAATTTCTGAATTCTGTATCATAAAAGCTTTGACATTTCTTTATTAATTGATGAAGTATTAATTCTAAATTCTAGCATTGAAGCTTTCCACCAAAAGAAGTCTTCTCAAAATAAATCTTTTGCAGCAAAGTGGTATTTATTGAGTTATATGTGAAAGAGATTGCTTGTATTTTTGAGGTTCTTACAATGCACTGTGCAGAATTGGACAGAGGTTCTGTGGTGTTTGGTTTCCCTTTCTTCTCTCTCCTGCTTGCTCTGCGCTACAATGGCAGCTCCTTTCTCTCAGGCTGGCAAGCCTGGCTCTCAGCAGTGACATCCTCCCGCACCTGGTTGCAGCCAGTGGTTGTGCTGTACGTAGCATCATGCTTCACGGTGTGTTCTCCTACCCCAAGCCCCCTCCCCAGCACCCTAACCCCCAAACCTGTTGCACTCACTGATTTTCCTTTTTTTCAAAATAGCTCATTAAGAGGCACAATAAATAATTTCATGCAATGGCACTTCAGTGGCTTCTAGGCAGTCTTTCGCCTGCCCTAGATATCTCAGTAATGCCCAGGGCACGTGGATCATGACCCAAACTCCAAGCATGTGGGTACACAAGAACAGAGAGCAGTCTCCTTCAGAAACCACTGGATACTGTCAATTGCATCAGCCTCATCAGTGACACTCCCCCCATAGCCCCTGCCTTCTCAGTTATCAAACTACTGGCCAGATAGCCTGTCAAGAGAACTTTCCCCAATCATCATACTTCATCCTCCTTCCTGATGTCTTGGGGCAGACAAGTCATTGATTTAGAAAAGAGATAAAGAATCCTCTTTGTCCCCATCTGAAATGTCCTTGTTGTGTTGCATCCCAGATGACATCACTGATGCTTTGGGGAAATCTTCAACTGCTGAATTTCTCAGCTGGTCCTCTTTGGCTGCACCCCAGCTTCTGTGCAGACCACATCTCCCTTCCCAGTGCTGCTCCTTTCTCCTCTCTGCTCCTCCCTCTCAGAAGCCAGATGTCATTCTTAGTGCCCCTCACTCACACCCACTGTGGCTGGTTATAGCACTTCCACTGCTTAAGTCAGATAGGAAGTGATTGAAGCAGGGGGCAAAGAGAGCCCATCTTTCTAAGCAGAAAAGCAGACAAAATATACAGACATCCTGTTGACAGAGAGAAGTAAACTCCAGAAGGGAACCAAGAACTCCTCCCTTCCCTGGTGAGTATTTCCATTATTCCGTTAAGGTTTAATATGCATTCAAATTACTTTTACTAAATAGTACACCATAAAGCTTTTGTTATATATTAAATGTAAACTGAAAGGAATGTACACATATGTATTGTTAATTATAAATATAGATAAGCAATGACATAATAGATGAAAAAGTCTTATTCAGATGTATCCCATTCATTTTACATCACCCACCTATTGTCGCATGGTAGAGTAGTTTTTTGTCTCTGAATATGTGAATAACTTGACTTGCGTTTATCTTTTTACATATTTAATAAAAAAAAAGTATATGTTAAAATCGGCTTGGATCTATCAATTCTTAAATTTTTATGCTAAGTTTCCTTTTGATTGACCATGAGTATATTCATTAGGATATATGGATTCACATATCTACCTACATTTAATGTGATTTACACAGGGCCAGGGAGTCTTTTACTGAGGGCAAGTGTTTTATGGGAATTACAGATTAGTATTCAATAGCAAATGTAACAGCTCTAATGCCTTTTTAAAAAGTTTACCAAAAAAACATACATCTGAAAAGGTATGACTCTCTAGCTCTAAATCATATACAGTATTGTAAACCACTGTTACTTCAGTAAAAGTAAAATAGTGAAATCAGAATCCCTAAAATGTTTTCCAAAATTAAATAAAGATAAATTATTCCCCTAGGAAACATTCCACTTGCAAGCAAGCAAAATCCTAGCTCCCACAGGTCCAGCCTGCTCCATCTGGATGAGACGGACCTGGCCAATAAGAAACTGGGAGAAGCTGGCAGATGTTTCATATAAAACTTTGTAGCAAAATGACCACTTGTTGGCAAAAACTCTTTTGAGTGGGTTTCCCCCACTCCAGTTTGCTCACTTTCACAAAAAAGTTATGATTTAGAGACATAAGGTACACATGGAATTCAAAACCTCACAGGCACAGAAATAAGTGAAAAAAGAAGTCTTAGAAGTAGCCCAGGGAGCCACCTGTAGAAACTCAAGCAGGTGACAGACTGTGAAGCTTTGCCTGTCTCAGGAACCTGCAGTTCGCTGAGGTGCCCCCTTCAATCCCTGAAGGAGGCCAAGCTTCCCTAAACTGCTTCAAGCACCACCTAGAGGCCACTTTTGTTTTTATACTGTCCTCAGGCAACTGTTTGCCATTCACTTGCCTTTAGGCGCTGTTAGAGCAGAGAAGTGGGAAAATAAGCAAAGACAGGGATACTTCTTGCCATTTCTCCACCCATGTATATATACTCTTTTCTCCACAGGGTGCTTTTGTGACAAGTTCGTGAGCCATTACCTGGCTGTAAGCCCTCATGCTCAAAGCAACTGTGTCTCCACTAAATTCACAAACCCTGGAGTTTTAAACACTAGGTCTTACGCACAGTGTAAGACCAAATGAAAACGTGGTTTATCTTAGTTGAAACGCACACTGATGGGCTTTAGTAATCGTATCACTAATGGTTCAAAGGTGGTGAGATAACATGTTTGTTCCATTTTATTAAATCTGAGATCATCTCTAAAAATTTAATGTGCTCCCATGAGTCCAGAGAGGTTAATGTAGATCCGTGACATAAGTTATAAATGCTATTTCTCTAAAATTAAACACACCGCTTCATTTCTGACCTCTCCTTTTCCTCTTCACTGCTAGAACAGCTTCCATCATCTTACTGCTGCCATTACTAGCAGTTACCCAATTTCTCAACTTTAATGCAATGTTGCCAAACACACAAGTGTGAGAGCTGAGCATCTCCTTGGATCTCTAACTCTTGTTTGGCTGAAGTAGGAACTCATAAGAAACATTGTCTTCATTAGAAGAGTCCTGGGGCCTCCCTGGTGGCCCAGGCAGTTGAGCACAGCGCTGTGAAGCTGTCCGCAGCCTCTGCAGCGCTGGTTCAATCCCGGCCGGCCAGGGAGATACCCACGTGGCGAAGCAGACCTGTCCCGCGTCGCCCCTCAGCAGTGTATTTCTGTCAGTCTTCCTGTTCTATTCCCCTCTCTGTCTCTGCTGAATCCCCTCACCCTCCTGCACATCTGGCCTGTACCCCAATGCTTGTATATATAAATAAATCTTAAAAAAAAAAAGTCCTGGCTTCATTGCCATTGAGCCCTTGAGGACCCTCATCACACCAAGACCTCAGACCATAAGACCGCCCAAGGGGAAACCCTGCCCCCACCTTCTGACCTACACCTCCTGTCTTGTCTACACAGGGCACACACAGGAGGTGCTATGCCAAGGACTGGCCACCTGTGATGGGTTTGGGATTGTAACACAAATGGAAGGCCCAGCTGAAGCTGATGTGTTGAATGCTTTTGTCTCCTCTCCACTGATAGGAAATGTTGCACCTTTTCAGCTTGCCAAGTTTTTAATGGGTTTCTTGTGGTGGTTATTATAATTTTATCAAGACAGTTGCTTGTCAAGGGTAATTTTATTTATATATATATAAAATGTGGGGGTCTTCCATGAGGACCAGAAAGCCTGCTAGACAAATTCTAAAAGAGCTGTAACACTGGTAATAACATATTAACATACTTTCAACTTATAATATTCAGTAGAAACTAGTCCAGTACATAAGTGCATTCTTTCCAAGGAATGAAAATAATTACACATTTCCTTCAGTGTAGCAGACATCCCTCATATTTTTATACTGGTATTTCTTTAGGTGTTGAAGTTTATCTACATAAAAAACATTTTTTAAGATATGTTTATCTTATTCACTAAAATGTTTTGTCAAAGCTAACAGCTTAAATGAATGTTTAGAAACCAAAGAAGTAATGAACAGGACCAGAAATGTATTTAGAATTTTAATGTTATCCAAATTCACAGGTTACTCTAGAACACACACTTTCAATCTGATATATTTATTATGAAATGAAATATGATCTCCTACCAATGGAACAATTTTATACCAGCTTGAAAGTTTTTTTTTCCAAAAAGATCACAGAAAATCAGTTTAAATATTAGTTTATATAGGCAAACTGTCTCTCCAGGATAGGCTCAGGGGCCTTCCTAACCTGTAGACACAGATACTGCCCAGTCACCTGAGTTTAAAAAAAAAAAAAAAAAAGACAGAGAAGGAAAATGTAAACTCTACTCCAGACCATTTTCAATTCTTCTTGAGAGAATGGTTTCAAAATTATTATCACAAAATGCTGGCCAGTCCTTAGCTGAGATATCATCACTATGTCATCCAAGATGGTTCTGATTTCCTTCCTTTTATAATTTTGACATCATTTACTGAAGGATGAAAAACTTATTCCTTTTAAACTAAAGATGTAATAGGCACAGAATGAATGGTTATACTTGCCATATCTGCAATAGCTCTAACGGGGTTCAAATATAATAATTTTGTCTTCTGAGAACATAATGTTGGCAATTGACAGACCTGTGACTGTATCCCACCATTTTTACTAAATAAAGATTTTATAGTGTTAGGTTAGCCTTAGCTGGAACACACAATTTTGTTAGCTACTGAGTATTGAGAAGAGGCCCCAAACATATTTGAGATCACTCATAATAGCCTTTTACATCCAACTTAAAAATGGTACCTTCAACTGCACAGCTATACACAAAACATTGTGAAATAACTTAACTCCTGAAAGCAGGATTGTCTCAATCTACCACACTTCACAGGATGTTCTGTAACTTGACCTGGTTTCCAAGCAGCCTTCTTGGTTTTCTCATGAGACTCTGCTACATTCCACAAAGAAAAAGTGGTGAATTTATGTGTAAAAGTTACCCCAATGCAATGGTATAAGAGATGGTCCCTCTGGATAATTTTAAAATAATCCTATATCCTTCAAGCCATTTGTTCCTGTTTTGTTTTTTTGGTTGTGGTTTTTTTTTGGTTTTTTGTTTTAATTTTTTAGGCTTTACTTTTTTAACATCTCTTAATATTTTATTTTATATAATTCTTACATCATTTTTCATTTTTACACAATGTATACATTTTCATTTTGTTTATATTTCCCATACAATTGCACCCCCCCAATTTTGACCCTAGTCCTTCTCCCCGCCCCTACCCACCCCACCCCCCCGTAGTGTGTCTCTGGTTTATAGTTGCTTGTTGATTTTGATTTTTACTTTGTATTAATTAGTCTTTTTCATGGTCCCTTATTTAGGTTTTCTGGATTCCTGCTATGAGTGAGACCATCTGGTATTTTTCTTTTTCTTTGTGGCTTATTTCACTGAGCATGATCCCTTCCAGCTCCTTCCATGTTGCTGCAAACTGCATGTGTTTATCTTTTTGATTGCTAAGTAATATTCCATGGTATATATGTACCACATCTTCTTGATCCAGTCATCTATATTTGGGCATTTGGGTTGTTTCCAAAGCTTAGCTATTGTAAACAGTGCTGCTATCAACATAGAGATGCAGGTACCCTTTGGAATTACTGTTTCTGTGTCCTTTGGGTAAATACCTAGGAGTGGAATTGCTGGATCATATGGAAGCTCTATGTTTAGTAGGTCAAGAAATCTCCACACAGCTCTCCATATTGGTTGGACCAGTTTGCACTCCCACCAGCAATGCAGGAGAGTTCCTTTTTCTCTACAACCTCGCCAACATTTGTTGTTGCTAGTTTGTTTAATATGTGCTATTCTTAACTGGTGTAAGATGGTATCTCATTGTAGTTTTGATTTGCATTTCCCTGATTGCAAGTGATGTTGAACATTTTTTCATAGGTCTGTTGGCCATTTGCATTTCCTCTTTGGAGAAGTTTCTTTTTTAGCTCTTCTGCCCATTTTTTTCACTGGATTATTTTCTTTGTTTTTGTTGAATCTCATCAGCTCTTTGTAGATTTTTGTGATCAGTCCTTTATCATTAGTGTTGTGTGCAGGAACTTGATCACTATTATCATCCCAAGTCTTACTGAACAAGAACAGACTGGCTTGAAGCAGGAGCTATATGCTCGCTTCACAGACAAGCTGGGTCAGAACCAAGGGAGTGGGGTGGAAGTCGCAGCTGATAGAGGAAGGCATGAGGCAGAGACCAAAGAGCCAGCAAGAGGCTGCAACTCAAGTGATTCCTTCAAGACAAGAGAAGTTCATGGCTCTGAGGAGCTTGTACATAGAAGGTCTTGATCATTTGGCCCATTAACTTTGCCCCTCTGGAGAAACCATGTCCTGAAAACCAGAGAAGGAATAGTCTACTGCCTCACAGAAAGGCTGTTTATCCCTGCTCACATTTCTTACTGAAAGGATGTGTGTATTCAAATGTTGACTCAACTGTCCAAGAAGAAATCAAAGGTGGATATCACCAAATGCTGCCTGTCTGTAAATTTAAAACATATATGCAAGAAAACTGCTGACTCTACCTCAGAAAGATCCAAAAGAAATTTTTCAGCTAAAAAAAGACATGGAGTGAAGGTACAATTTTTGCTTTGTCCACCAATTAAACAGAATTTTTTAACGTAGAGCACCAACTATGGGCAAATTACAGCTGTGAATAGTAACTTCTACTCCAAAAATATCAAGTCACTACCCCTCAGTTATTCTGAGGGAATTGTACCAAAGGAGATACTGTATGCTTTCTACCTTAGTCCAAAAAAGTTAACTGAAGCAATTCACATATTTTTTTCAAGCAGTATGTTATATATAAATGAGGAAATTGGAGTGAAAGAATAGGGAATGAGGGAAGGAAGAGAGAAATTAAGTCAGAAGTTAGTCAGTCACTTCACAAATGCCCTGAGGTCTTCTGGACTTTAGCTGGAAAATTAGCTCTGAGCTTCACAGAGAGGGAAGAAATCATGACTCACTTGAACGTGTCCACAAGCTGAAAACAAATCAGTTGCTTAGGAGTGCAAATACTTAGGCCTCAGAGAAGTTTCTCCATGGCTCCTCCCAGGAAGAAATTAAATGATGCTGTCAACCTGACCATCATAGCCTCTCACAGCAAATACAGTAACAGTCCAACAGGCCTATCCCTGTTAGTCATCAGGACTATCCTTGATGACATAATGCCAATATAGCTCAGTGCAAAGCAACCTACCCAGAACCAAAGGTGTGTGTGGAAATAGCTCCTGGAGCATCGGGCTGCATGCCAGGAAAATGCAGTGCTCTGGAGAATGGGGGAGGCCACTGCAGGCCCCACTCTTTGAGGCCTGGATTTAGGTACCCCTGACCCTGGCCAGAGGGAGCTGTTGAATGCTGCTGTTTTCCTAAAAGCAGGCACAGGCTGGGGCTGCCCTATGCTGCAGGTGGGGGAACCTGGCCATGTCACAGCAGAGGAGGATACCCACGCAGACTCACAGTTTTCCCCAGAAATACGAGTAGTATTGAATTATGAGTTTGTTTTTGTTTGGTTTTTTTAAAGATTTATTTATTTATGCATACAAGAACTGGGGGATAGGCCAGAGGTGTGGGAGGTGAGAGGATTCACCATAGACAGAATGGGGAACAGATCAGGCAGATTGACTGAAATACACTGCTGAGGGGAGCAGCAGGCGAGTTAGGAGAGGATTGCTGTGCCATGTGGGCTGCTCCCTAGCCAGGGATCGAATTTGTGCTGCAGAGGCTGTAGATAGCATCATAGGTTGCATCTTAACCCCTTGCGCCACCAGGGAGGCCTCTTTTTGTTTGTTTTTTAAATTATTGTTGGCAATTTACTCATTGGACAACTTTCAATGTAGATTGTAAATACGAACCTACTGGCTCTTACTCTCATTACACAAAATTATCCTAAAGATAGGCCACTGGCAAGTGGCAAGTATCCTAAATCCAAACATAAGTGTGGATGGCTAAAAGGGATTCTAATAAAATATCTGTACCTATAAAATCCTTTCACAAATCCCAACCACAGCACTTCTAGCTGTATGATTGTAAACAAATTGCACATCATTTCTTAACCTCCATTTCCTCACCTGAATATGTAGATTAAACCTACCTTGCAAAATTTTTAAAAATGAGATGAGGCTTATAAAGTACCTTGCACACAGTACATATTTAATAAATGGTAGCAATTATTACTAATTGGGTCTTGATAATTCTGTAAGGGAGGTCACATAGATAAAACAACAAAAATATATAATAATATTAATAATCTAATTAATATAGTAGTAGTTAATATTATTATTTCCCGGGTCATGGACATTTCCATGTTACCCACTGCTCCTGTAGAAGACAACCAACCATGTGTTACACCACTGAGTCCTGCCCCCTCACAGCCACAGCTGATGGTCCAGAGTGCATGTCTAACCAAGGGCAGTCCAGCTAGGGCTGCAAGTGACCGCAAGGCCTGACTGACCTAGACCAATCAGCTGTTCCCCTTGATGACTTCAGCAGTGGGAGCTAGAGGCTAAGAGGATGCAGCAAAAATGGAACCAGGAGGCAGGATCGTAGCCACCGATGTTAGACATAAGCAGGTGCCCTGCAAGAAAAAGAAGATGAAAGGAGCAAAAGCAGGAGAAAACACTCAGGAAAGGACCAAGGGACATTTAACTATGATCCACAAACATCTGCTTCCTTGAATCCTGAAGCACCTGGCAGTTTTCTTATGAAATCTGGCTGATCCACTTCGTTGAGGTCACTTGTATGTGCAATCTTAAAATAAATCAGAATAATTAAGTCATTCTCATGAAATGAGACTCTTGAGAGGGAATAACCAGCCAAGTTTAAAGAAAAGGAGTTTCAAGACAATCTGATCCCAAGCCCAGTCACCTGGCACGATGCACATGAAGAAGTCGTCCCAGGTGTCCAAGCCCCTGGAGCCTTCCAGTGCCCCCAAGTAGGTGACAGCAACCACAGAGGAAATCCCCAGCAAGAACTAACTTCCCTGCTCACCCATGAGCCCTAGAAATAGTAATAAACTGGCTCGAGTCACTGAATGTAGGAGAACTTGTCACACAGCAATGATAACTGGAGCAGGTAGATGACAGTGAAGGACTGGTTTTATTTTGTGACTTTGTGCAGACATCACACAGAGAGAAGGTAATTTCAGTCACATTTCTTCTGTAGCAGCTGTAGAATAATTTGGCACATCACTTTACTTTGTTCAGCTTTATAAAATGAAGATGTAAAATGGGAGAGTCAGACAACATGGCTTTTGGAATCCCTTCTGGTTCATAAAAATCCTAATTCCCAATAATTAGCACAATCAAAAAGAACATGGCCCCAAAGGGGTAGTTCCTTAAGCAAGGCATAGCTTTCTGTAGATAAGGGAGTGTCTCTGTAGATAAGGGAGGAATGGGGAGAAAAGTTCAATGTGAAACAAAACTGTGCTTTTATAGGCTGCTTCCCAACACACAGTAGGTGCTCAAAATATGTTGTTTGCATTGAAATGTCACCTCCATGGTACTTTGATTTAATCTAATTGGGTTTTGTTTTTTTTTTTCTTGGTTATTATATCTGAGTCACTGACTAAGCACATGAAATGAGGAAGAGGAGAAAGCATAAAAGCAGACAGGCTCAAAGTCAAATTTCAACTGAATTAGTTAGATAATAATCTCCAGTTTGTTCCTTCACTTTTCTCTATAGTCTCATTCCGCTAGTCCAGCCAATGGGCATGTCTACCCCACCTAACACACAGGTTCTCCCTCCAAAGTGGTTGAACAGGTAAAAGCCACAAACAAGTCATCTTTCACATATAACAATCAACTCTCATGTAACCCACTCTTGGCAATAGGCATGGCCTCAGCCACCTCTACCTCATTTTTGCACTTTTTTTTTAAAAGATTTATTTTATTTATACAAGAGCTGGGGTGCAGGCCAGATGCGCGGGAGGGTGAGAAGATTCACCAGAGACAGAGCAGGCAACAGAACAAGCAGACTGACAAAATATACTGCTGAGGGGAGCAGCGGGCGAGACAGGAGAGGTCTGCCACGCCATGTGGAATTCTCGCGGGCTGGGATCAAACCTGCACTGAAAAGGCTGCAAACAGCTTCACAGTGTGGCGCTCAACCAGCTGCTCCACTAGGGAGGCCCATTTTTGCACTTTTTCACTCCCGAAAAGAAAGTAGAGATCATGTATTTACCACAAGCTGTGCAGTGTACATGGCAGTGTTTGATGCAGGGAGCAAGATGAGTGGCAATGCCTCAGCCTCTCAGAAGTCCCATAACTGCAGAGAAGACCAGGAGACCAGGAGGACCAGAGGACCAGTGAAAAGGCCTTGCTGTAGTATCACTCCTCCGCTGAGCATCACTCTCACTGGTGAAACAAGCACACATCAAGGTCACCAGGGATGCTAAAGAAAAAGTCTTTTTTAAGAAAAACATTAAAAGTCACTGTTACCTACAAAAATTCCTATGCTTTCTGCCCTGCTCATCCCCCGAAAATTCCTTCCCCTGAAAGTGCCTTCCTTATATCAAAGACTAAGAAACTTAGCTATTTCCAAAGGGAAACTTATGGGAAATACTTTGGGTAGATTTATTCCTTCATTGATTGTGATTTTAAAAAAAGCTTAAGGATCATTTAAAACACATTTTATTGGACACATTATCCACTTTCAACGTAGAAATCATGCTCTGTCTTTCTCTGTATTCCCAAACCTAGCCATTGCCACACTCATCAGGACACTAGCTCTCAAGGGCCTGGTGAAGCCCATTGACACATTCTGCTTTAGCCATGCTGATGAAAATAACCACGGCCAAGATGATCCGTCCACTTGCACACAGCAACTCACCAGGACAGTGGATGAGGACCCATCCTTGAAGTCTGCCAAGATATTAGACTATGGACTAAAATTTACTCAGTTTGCTTATCTGGGGTAATACCGGAGCCCTGCTGTATGTCCACCACCTAGCATATCACAGGTGCTCAATAAATAAGAGTTACATACATGAGCATTCAGCACAGTGTGTATAGATACCTATGATAAACCTAGGTATATTTATTAGTGTAATGGTTTGGTTAATTTCTAACCTTTTCACTACTCAACTCCATGCACCATAATCATACTGATTATGTCTATCTGGCTTCACATCCTAACCCTAGCATCAAGCACACTGACTGATCTATAGGAGGTATACAACATACCATATTTATTCATAATGAGTGAAAAGTGCTTCTACATAGTGTTATTATGTAAAGTTAATAAAATAATGACTGCATGCAAAGAGTTCAGACTGTATCTGGCACATAGTACTTGATACATTGTTGGCTGCTTTGATTAGGGGATGCTTTGTACTTGGTACATTGTTGGCTGCTTTGGTGGGGATGGTGGTAGTGGGTGGTGGTAATAGTAGTAGTATTGGTGGTGGCAATGCTCTTTCTCTCCATCCATGCCTGAATTTAAGTGTGGGATGAAAAGGTGATATACTCTCTCTGCTCTCTGAGAGAGAGGCAGCTGTCCAAAAACCTACACTACTGCTCCTTTTGGGATCCCACTACCAGAATTTTCATGCCTAATTCTAAATTCCTGCCTCCCCTCCCCACAATTCAGCCACCACCATGCATTCAAATCTTATGGCTTATGTTCAGTCCCCAGAAAAATAAAAACTTCCACAGTTAACTAGTAGTTGACAAGCTTTCTGTTCGATCATAAATACCAAAAACTTTGGATATAGATGTTTAAATGATCTCTTGACAGACAGGGAACAGGAAATCACTGGTCACCTAGTGGTGTCTGAGAAGACAGAACTATCTTGTCCCAGGGCCTTCCTGATGGCTTAGGGGTTAAATCTCAGTGCTATCACCGATATGGCGTGAATCCAATCCCCTAACCCACATGTGATGCAGCAGACCTCTCCTATCTCACCTGCTGCTCCCCTCAGCAGTGTATTTCAGTAAATCTGCCTGTTCTGCTCCCCACTTCTGTCTCTGGTGAATCCTCTCACTTTCCACACCTCTCACCTACACCCTAGTTCTTCTATACACAAAAAAATTTAATTAATTAATTAATTAATTAAAAGTGAAAAAAGAAGAAATGTCCTGTGTCACCACAGGTTTTATTTAAAGGAGTTAGATCTCTTTTAACATATTATATTTGGTTAGTGGTGTTTTGGACTGTGGTCATATGTGGATTTGATTTCTCCAATGTCTACAAATTTAATTTTGTCTACAAATTTAATAACCCAAGCATCTAGCAGTTTTGAGCACATAGCAAAGCTCAGTGTATGTTTACCCAATAAAACGAAGAAGGGGAAAGGTGCAGTGATGGAGGTTAACATCAGAATTATTGCCTATCCATTTGACTCTCCACTAACACAAATAACAAAAATTTAGTTTTAGATTAAAGTTTTACATTAAAGGATATTACAAGCCAGAAGAACAAGAGAGGCAGCATACAGAATTGGAGGAAACAATGGAGTGTGGCCTGATTCTCATGAGCATGAAAGTTTAACATCATGATTTTTTGAAACCCTACTATTTTATCATGTGATGCATTTTTCAAGCCTTGGAGTCTGAATTCCATCAATAAAATATTGTATAATGACAACATTATTGTGCTTCATTTTGCACTTTTCTTATATAACTTCAAAATCAAATTTGAAAGGTCATGAACAAGAATAAAATATTGAGTTAGAAAAAGACTTGGCAGCAACCCTCTAGACAATGATCTCAAGCTGTGATTCTGGCATCCTTGGAGATTCCCAAGATCCTTTCGGGGAGTCCTCAAAATCAAAATCATTTTCATGGTGATACTAAGATTTTATTATCTGCCTTTTTTACTCTAATTCTTCCTCTAGTTTACAGTGGATCTTTCCTGAGGTTGCACCATATCTCAGCAGACAACTGCAGAAGCATATTTAACTGTCCAACAGTCTTAAGAAAATTAGCAAAATATGTAAAATAGTGACATTTTTCTCACTAAATTTTTATTTTGAAAAAATAGTTTTTTCCATAAAAATATGCTATGTTCATATTTAATAAGTTTACTATTATTGCTTTCTTAAATAATATTTTTAATTTCTCATTTATCATTTCTAATATAACAATAAGCCATATAAGCAAAACTATAACCCATAAAACCCATATAAGCAAAATGTCTTCAGTGTCTTCAATGTATTTTTCACCGAAATGATGTATGAAACCATTAAATGTGAGAACCTCTGCTCTAGACCCATGGTTTTCAACCAGGAATTTGCATTCAGATCAGCAAATCAGACCTTGGCTTTTTGACTTTTTGCTTGTTTGTTTGTTCGTTTGTTTGTTTTTTAAAGATTTGTTTTTTTATTTATACAGGAACTGGGGTACAGGCCAGAGGCACAAGAGGGTGAGAGAATTCACCAGAGACAGAGTGGGGAACAGAACAGGCAGACGACCAAAGACACTGTTGAGGGGAGCAGCTGGTGAGACGGAAGAGGTCCACCACACCATGTGGGTATCTCCCTGGCCACCAGGGAGGCCCAGACCTTAGCTTTTTGTTGTGGTAACTAATAAGGAAGGCAACAAAGTATTCCAAACCCCACTGCCTCACCTGAAAATTAAAAAGTCACAGCAAAAATAGAGAACAGGGAACAGAAAAGTATTATGATGTAATTAGAAGTGAACATCCATATTAAACTGGATAATGGAAATGAAAAATAAATGAGTCCAAGATGCAAATGATGTTAGGGAAGGCAATTGGCAGAAAAGTAATGCCTCAGACACTTGGGAATTAGGGGAGAAGGGGATGAACCCAGTATTAGGAGGCAGGCCCCCAAAGCAGAGAAATCCCACTCTGACTCAATCACTCTTTGCAGATAAAACGGCAGAAGAGGACAGTGGTAAGGACCTGTGATACCGATCAGAAGGTTAACCCTCTCTAGTGACAGATGGCCTCCCAGTGTGAGTGAGGCCATCGCAGAAGTGAATGTGGAATGTGGTGCTTATCAAGGCAGAATCCGGTGAGGGCCCACATTTTGGAATAGGGGAGTGCTTAGAAGACGTTGAGAAAGGCCCACGTAAAGATAAGAACAAAGCAGGGCACTGAATACTCTCTTGGCATATCAGAGGCAAAGGATGAGTGGCAAGATAGATAGAAGGACAAAAAAGAACAAACAAAACCAGGAGGTTTTGTTCCAACGAGCATTGTCTGGTCAACAATAGCAAAGTCACAGAAATGATACAAATGGTTAATTTTGAGAAGCTAGGGACTGGACAAGAATTAGATCATTGTCAACTTCAAATCTTCAAATATTTAAAAATTTTCAACAGAGTAGTAGAGTCAAAAAAATTTAAAGAAACTGCATGAAAGAAAATGTTAAAGCAGATGGAAGGAAATAAAAAGATGAAAGAAAGCAAAATGAACAAAATCCAGCAAAGATTTTTGGCATTTAAGCCAGGATCTCCTGTGTACAGCAATGATGGAAATACCAATGACCTCAGAGGCACTGAAGGTGCCCAAGGCAAAGAGAAGAATGGTAGGTGCCAGGACACACACACATTCATCTGCTTCAAACCTCCCTGCTCACAGGACTGCTTCCTGGCCCATTAAAATGGAATCCTAAGAAATCCTGTAATACAAAGGTCAAAAATATTAGGGTAATGAGGCGAAGGTTACAAGAAGTATTCTGGTCAGATATTATTTAAAAGGCAATATTTAGATTTTAATAGATCTTGACTTGCTATGAGGTACAAATAACAAAAATCCAAGTATCAAGAGTTTCATGTAGAAAAAGAAATTGCTATGACAACCACAACTCAGCCTCCACAGGAAATATAAATGGGAACCAGAATGAGAAAATTATAGAGAAATGTGACTTTTTTCTGATTTGGAAACAATTTCAACTACTATTCTTTAATGTTTTGCTCATTTGGCTCTGATATAAGAAGATGAAAATATTCCTTCACTTCAATAGTTTCTTTGTTTTACAAATTAAAATGAGCAGACCATCATTTAATGAAATGAAGCTGAAAACCAAGACCATGTAATCACTTATTCTACTAAGAAGTCCTTGTCCCTTTCACTGCTAACTTCTAATATTAAAAAGATAACACCAAAATTTAAACACACACACACACACATATATAATGCATTATATCACAAGAAAATAACAAATGTATATAGCAGGGAATATGGAATTAATACATCCTTAGCTGCCAGATTGTAAAGCTTTAAACCACTTGTAAAGAACCAAAATTCCTACCTCTTTTCCAGTATTTTCCTTCAAACGTGACAGTTCCTGAGATCTGCTATGGATGTGACTGTTGAAGAAAGGTAGGATCAGCTGCCTCAGCCTCACCTGGGATAAACCAGTCACTTTTTGGAGTTCGGTCTCTCAAAGCCAAAACAATAAGAACTGCAAGTCCAAGGACCGTAAGGATACAAGGTTAAGGCACCCAGGGGGTTAGTATTTTACACCGTATATTTGTCGAGACATTTTCCTCTTTTTTTAAATTGAATTTTTTTCTTACATCATTGTTCATTTTTGTACAATGTTTGATTTCTCCCCTCAGGTGAAATCCCTGTAATTATCCCATCACCCATAGCACCCATGAACCATCACCTTAAGTCCTTGTGCTGTTCCCTGCCCTGTTTTGATCCCGCTCCCTCCTGATGCCCTGCTGTGTGCCCCAATCTATGGTTTGCCTGCAAGTTTTGTATTTTCCCTTACCCTTTACTCATTTTCCCTACATTCCACCTGTAAGTGAGACCACCCATTATTTTTTTCTTTTTTCCTTCTGACTTCTTTTTTTTTTTTTAAAGATTTATTTATTTTATACAAGAACCGGGGTACAGGTCAGAAGCGTGGGAGGGTGAGAAAATTCATCAGAGCCAGAGTGGAGACCAGAACAGGCAGACCAATGAAGTACACTGCTGAGGGGAGCAGCGGACATAGCAGGAGAGGTCTGCGCACCACGTGGGACCCTCACCCGGCGGCCAGGGATTGAACTGGCACTGCAGAGGCTGCACAGCTTCACAGTGGGGCGCTCAACCACTGTGCTACTGGGGAGGCCCTCCTTCTGATTTCTTTAGCTTAGCATTTTCATTGCAGGTGAGTAAGCAGGCTGCCAATCAGCTAGGTTGTCTAACCCTACCCAGGGCTTTTTAGTGTTCTGCCTCATTCCTACCCTATGTCCTCATTGTCTGAGTCTAGTGTCCTAAGACACCATAGCCTCATGGCCAGTTTTTCTCTCTCTGCTCCAGCTTGCTCCTTCATCCAGTCCAACATCCCATGCAAGCTTTGGCCCAGATGCTCTTGTAGCTCTATGCTCTGCAGTCAAGCCAGCTCTGCCCTTCCCCAAATCATCTCCATCTCTAGGATCCCCAATAAGGTGCAACTTCAAGCCACTCACCTGTCTACTGGAGTAGTTGGACAGGATCAGTTATAACAACAGGTGCTCCCCAATAGCACCAAGCTTCCTCCCATGTCACCCAAGTTCAGTACCTTTGCAAAGAAAAGGAATGTAATTCATGGATTCAGAGAGCCTGACAAAAATCAGTCCCATGCATGAGAGTGTTTTTTATATTGATGTTGATCTATAAGCTTATCCTCATCTATATTAATCAAATTATGAAAATCTTAGTCATGCCACGATAAATTAATTATAAATTAGAACACCAATGTTACCATATTCAGAGTATATTTTACTAGATGCTCCATAAATAAATTTAATATTACAATTTATAATCACTAACAGGTATAATGTAAAAAAAAAAAAAGTCACCTAATTTAAACTCAAGTTCTTTGCATCCAAAACAGTAGTTTTGAGAATCTTCTGTTTACAGACCCATGTAAACCCTAAGTCTTTATACAGGATCATCAAATATGGGAAGACTACCTTAAAATGACCTATGTGGTGCCCAGCACTTGAAGGGCCTAAAGCTCTTTTATTAAATGTGCAATGTTTATACTGGCTGGACTTGTCAAAGCAAGTTTGGTTCAGGATTCACACCTCCCCATTAAAAGAGCCTTTACCAGGGAAATGAAACCAGTGAAGCTTTATTTTACAGTCATCCTTGAGAAGGCCACACCAGACATGAGCAGAAACTGACTGGGTTGCCTGGTCACACTGAATAAGGTCACCCATAGAGTAAGGGAAAATATGAAGGCAGGGGACACCAGGAAAAGCAAAGCTTATAAAAATTGTTTCTTCAGGGTTTTCTTCAGTTATGACCTCCAGAGAAAAATAAAAAAAAATTCCTATTAGAAGACTTTCTAGTAGTCATCATGCTAACTCTCAGAAGTCTAATATGCTTTCATCTTTGCCACACAGAAGTATTGGAGATAAATGCTATCTTTCAGGAATGTCAGGCTTCTCATTGTTGAAGGTACCCAAGTTTCACTGCCTCACCACTTTCCTCCTCTACCTTTTATCTCCTACTAACCACTGAACAAGGTAAAAATCAATGATATAGATGAGAAAAGGACACAAGAAGTTCTGATGTTGCCTTTCATCTACTCCACTGCTCCTGTTCCCAGCTGGAGACTGTGGTGCCTCTTACGAAAGATGTACCCCTCTGGACACAGGACCTGAGTCACCAGAATTCCCCAAGGTCCAGGGTATGGGTCTTTTTCCAAAGAATGGAAACCATGCAACACAGCTAGTGAATTTCACAGTTTGGAACCAATCTGAGCCAATCTGAACCAACAGTACCTTTTCCTGCTAGTGCCTTTTCCTGCTAGTTCACCTTTTCAAGTTTAAACATACATGTAAATGTTATGAATCTGAGGAAAAGTGGGAAACACATAGCAAGATGAAAAGGCAGGAATAAACTTTTTAAATAAAGATTTGTTACAATTCCACAATGATAAGTTATATCAGAGAAGGAACAGCAATAGAAATATTTCACTATCATATTAGGAGACAACGTAGTCTTTCACCAGATACATGAAATTGCTAACTGCCATTGTAGTGGTATCACTAACAGAATAACTGATGGTGTTGTTATGGTTTTGTATGTATGTTATTTAAGAAATACCAGCTAACACAGGTTGTTTGGATTTTTTAAAGCAGATGCCCAGCATTCCTAATGATAGAAAATTTAAATTTCAAAGAAAATGTCAATGCCAAAACAATTAATGATTTTAAATGTTCCTCCCTTAGAAAGCTGTTTCTGCCTACATGGCCAAGTGTTTCTGCCTACATGGCCATGTAATTATTAGCAGGTTCACTGGCTCACAATGGACCAGATGTGGACATGACTCCAAACTGCTCATTTAATAGCCAAACTCTCCAGTCACTGTAGTCCTAAAAGATTGAATCAAATGCACTGATCAAAGAATCTTGGTGTGAGAAAGAGCCACGGAAGTCACCTAGACCAACTGCTCATTCAATGCATGAGTCTCTTCATAAGATCCTCATCATGTCATCACCTGGCTGCATGCCTGTCATGCCTGTCACCTGGCCATTCTACATCCTGGAAGAGTCCACCATTTCATCTTTGGACAGCTCTGTTTCATGAAATGTAACTGTAAGAGTAAATAAATCAGTATTTTGTCTGATTTTCTGTTAACACAAGTCAAGAAGAAAGTCAGTCACTGGGTAAACTGAGAAAGGATGCAAACATGGTGACACGGGTATTTAGACTAGGTGAAGTAGATCGGGTCACTAGGCCAGCTAATACACATTGTCATTACACAGTGTTGTTTAAACTCTTAAATAAATTTCCCACCAACCTGAAAAATAATTCAAACTGTTGGTTCAGTGCTGATAGGTAAATGCAGCACTTTGATCAAAGGTGCCAGGGGCCATGGTTTTTATCATGTTGCTTCCTTCTCTGGCCTGGGAAGATGGATGCAGCATAGAACTAAACTGGGCATTCTCAAAGTTCCTGAAACATTCAGATGGTTTGTGCATTTCTCTAGTAGCTTAACTTGAGGAAATTAGCTTTCTAGAGAGAAAATAAAGGCATCCTATACAGAATGCAGAGTGTCAAAAAGTAACATCTCACTTATAGACTGCCCAGGTAATGAAACACTCACATTAGTTAAAAAAAAGAAAGAAAGAAAGAAAGAACATTTTGAAGGGATTATGCTAAGCGAAGTAATTTAGAAGGAAAAAGATAAATGATAAATATTGGATGGCTGCACTTATATGTGCATTATAGAGAAATGAAACAAAGGGTCAGGAAAAAGGACAAAACTTGCAAATTGACCATAGATTTGAGGCACACAGCAGGGAAGAAGGAAGGAGAAAGGTCAAAACAGGGCAGAGAAGAGCACAAGAGACTGTGGTGATGGCGCACAGGTGGTATGGTGTGGGAGAACTACAGGACTACAAGTGAGGGGAGAAATCAAATACTGTCCCAAAATTAATTACTGTACAAGAATATAAGTAAATTAGTAATAAAGAACATTTTGGATGGCAACTTTTATAGTTCTTAAGCTAACCCTTTTTAATTGTTACTAGTTTCCATTGAGGCACATTGGTTTACAAAAGTGTTCATGATTCAGGTGCATAGGTTCACACTTTTTCAGATGTGTCACCACATCACAATAGATACCAGAGCACCCACTGTCCTCCACCACTGGGCACTCTCCCCCACCATAGTCAAGTGTTGCCCCCAGTCTCCCCTAATGCTTTTTTAATCTTTAACATTTTTTGTTTGTTTTCAGTGTATTTTTATTGGCAGAGGTTTTTTCTTACAATAGTGAAACAGTTTAAAGGGTTACAATCTAAGCAAATAACCTTAAATAGATCTTCTCTTTATATACATTCTCAGGATTACAACTTGGATTCTCTGAGATTAATGAGGACTAGAGTTAGACTGTTTCCTATTAAAAATTGAAAGGGTTAAGGCAGAAACTCAATAAGTGTTCAAGTAAAATATAGCCATCCTAACATCTGTATTATATTAGAGGAGACACAAGACAAAACATTGACTCTTGAGGTTAAATCTAAATTTCCTGCTGCAGTTCTGAAAGAGTTTGAGAGTTAGATCAAAAAAAGCAACAATGACCTAAAATAGACCTAAAAATAGACCTAAAAAGTATCTTAAAGCAAATTTCAAAAATTATTAAATACCAATACTTAATTATTTCTTTGAAGTACCAGTTTAGTCAGCAATTATCCAATGACAATAGGAGAAAAACACACAATGAAAATTTTGTACCATGCTCGAATCATTTTTCCAGTTAGCAGTGACACACCTGGATGCAAAAACCACCACTTCTGATTCTTCGTCTGTTTTATGGGATGCTGTTGAATTTCCAATTCTTCCTCTCCAGTATATTGTGACATCATATTTGAATTTCCAAAGACACTATCTCAGTCTCTTTGGAATATACTGGTATTTAATTTCATAACTATACTGCATAAGGAAAACCCTAGCTTAAAGGTCAACAAGCAAGAAGTTTATCTTAACAAAAACTTAAAGAGCATGAAGCTAGAACCTGGATTCAGGAAACCTTATCTTTAGATCTGGTGGCCAAGAATACAACTTAGACAATAAGGTCTTCGACATTGTTTTTAGGAGTAAAACTAAGTTATAAGCAAGCAATGCTGACCTGCTAACATTAGTGGCTGTGTGGAAGTTGCTCTAAAATGCCACTGATGAAAAGTACATACACACACACAACACACACACAAAGAATTTGTGTTTCTGAACATTTCTGAATGACCCATCTCACATACCAAATTCTATGACAATGTAAGATGCATATTTCTAGACCTTGCATATTAGAAAAGTTTTCTCAACCACAAAGATTCTGATTGAACCAAGGAAGTGACGTAAGGAGAAATTTACCAAGAAGTCATTTTAGACAAATCTTGTATCAATTTATACTTCAGTTTCAGCTTCTGAGATCTCCAAGACCTTTTACTGATTTATCCCTTGTCTTGTCTCAACAGATTATTAATCCTCCACTCCAGCCAAACAAATCTTATTTGCTGTTCCTTCTACTTCATTTGTTGACTTCCAAGTCTTTTTCTGGTTTCTCCATTTAACCTTGGAAGACCCTAGGCTCAGTTCCTAGATCTCTTTTCTGTCATCACTTACATCTTTAGAGAGCTCATCCTGTCTATGTTTATCAGTACTTACAAAGTTCTCTGCTGAACTCCAGACTTATATACACAACAGCATATTTAAGTCTCTATTTGGATGTCTAATAGACTTCTGAAATGTAATGTTCCAAACTGAACTCCTAATTTCTCCCTACCCTATCCCACAAACATACTGCCCCCACAGATTTCCTTTTCTCGGCATATAACAATTCCATTCTCCAAGATGCTCAAGATGATAGCCTTTTAGCTAAAATCAAATGTCCAGTTGCTTAAGATAAGTCTTAGTGCCACACTGGACTCTCTCTCTTTCTACATTCAATCTGTCAGAAATCCTAATGGCTACAAGAAAGTGATCAAGAAAAGTATAACCAAAATCCATTCCATTCTCTTGTTACTTTCATAGCTGCTACCCTGATGCAGGCTCCATTATTTCTTTCCTAGATTACCCCAATGGGTGCCTGGATGGTCACTCTGCTTCCATCCTTACTTTCTGGAGCACCAAGGGGATCCTCTTTAAACCTCAGTCATATCATTTCATTACCACGTTTCAGGTCGACTATAACTGTTCATCTCATGCAAATAAAAGCCAAAGTCCTCACAGTGCAATTGTCTCCAACTCTCCCAATCTGCTCAGCCTGCCCCAATAGGAAAGGCCACCTGGCTATGCTTGGAGAACCTCAGACACAGTCCTCCCTTAAATCCTTTGCACTGGTGCTTTTCTGTTTTTAGAAAAATTTTCCCTCTGAGAGCCACAGAGTTCGATCCTCACCTTCTTCAAGTCTTTGCTCAGCTATTCCCCTCTTAGTGAGACCTACTCTGAACTCCTGTTTAAAATTGCAATCAGGGCCTCCCCAGTGGCGCAGCAGGTTGAGCACAGCACTGTGAAATTGTCCACAGCCTATGCAGCACGAGTTCGATTCCCAGCCAGCCAGGGAGATACCCACATGGCATGGCAGACCTCTCCTGTCTCGCCCGCTGCTCTCCTCAGCAGTGCTTTCGGTCTGTCTGCCCGTTCTGCTCTCCACTCTGTCTATGGTGAAACCTCTCACCCTCCCGCACCTCTGGCCTACACCCCAGCTCTTGAATAAATAAAAACAAATCTTTAAAAAAAATAAAAAATATTTTAACAAGTACTTAAAAAAAAAAAAACTCTTAAAATTGCAATCATTCCCTCCTCCATGATTCTAGACTTCTTTTTCCTATTTTTTTGTTCTCTGAAGTAATTGTCACCTTCTAATATATTATGTCACTTACTTATTCATGTTGTTTCCTCCCACTGCACACACCCACCCCAGCACCAAGAATGTAAGCTCCATGAGGACAGTGATTCTTATGGATTGTTCATGGAACTATTCCAGAATGCAGGCATACGGTCAGTTCTAAGTAAATATTTATTGGCTGAAGTTCACCACCCCACCAACTTTCCCTATCTACTCTCTTTTTAAACTGATGTTCCCCGAATTGTTCTAGAAATATAAGTACCTTTTTTCCTCCCTTTAAGCTCCAATTTAAAACCTTCTCCTCTGAAATGTTTTTTATATTAGCTCTGCTCTGTTGCTCATGGATTTTTATGCATTTAGTGAACAAAAAGTTTGCATTGGTGTCTGCTGTAAATCATGCACACAGTTAAATTCTCAATTCTTTACCTTATAATAAATTTGTTTTTTAACTAATGATTTGAATGCCTATGAAAACACATGGAAGTAATGGGCACCATATAAATATTCAGTTACTCCCCTCAACAATTTATAAAACAAACAAAATAAAATGTTAAGGTCATTCTTGGACTTGGAAGAACTGTAGCCACTGGAATTTGTGAATGTTTCATGTCATTCAAAGATGCATCTACAGATGTGTGAGGAAGAGAAAGAGAAAATTATCAGAGTTCCTTTATCAATGAGTAAATACTGAACACCAAGTCTTTTTGGATAAGAAACTCAAACCCATTGTTAGGTGTTGAATTTTGTCCCCCAAGAATGATTCATTGAAGTACTCACCCCCCTTTTTTGGAAATATGGTCTTCCCAAAGTAATAAATTTAAAATGAGGTCAGTAGGGTGGGCCCTAAAACAAGGAAGCTGGTTTCCTTATAAAAAGGGGAAATTTTGACACAGAAACAGATACAAATGAGGGAAGATGATCTGAGGACACATATAGGGGAAATACCATGTGAAGAAAGAGGGTTGGAATGATGGATCTATGGACCAAGGAATGCCTGAGGTTACCCTGGGAGAGGCCTGGAACAAATGCACGCTAGCACCTTCAGAGGGAGCTGCCAACACTTTGATTTTAGACTTCAGGTCCCCAAACATTATACAATAGATTTGTCATTTTAAGTCACCCACTTTGTACTACAATGGTACAGCAGCATTAGGAAACAAATGCACCCATTACGTGGGTTCAACAGATTGAATGGAGACCTGGTTAAAGATCCACATTTTCAATATTCAGGTAGCAGCATGGATCCAGAAACTGAAGTGTTTTCAAATGATGGTCTTGATTCTGAAATGACTTTCATTATTATAATCACTTATTTGCAATTGTTTATTTACTGTTAACTAGGTAGTCATTCAAAAATAAACTACTTAATTGGGGATAAGGGAATTATCTTTCAAATTCAAGTATCAAAAAGGTCCTCTTTTGTAAATGCAAGTGAGGGTCAGTGAATGCCCTTATAATTAATTTCTGCAGGCGAGCTGGCCTACAAAGCTGAGTCAAAAACATCCTGCACTATCAATTGTCAATTATAGGTTTGAATAGGATCTACATGGAGGAAAACACAATTTGGAAAATTGCTCAAATTATATAACTAGATTTAATCTAATTGGTTCAGATTTTACCAAAAATGTCTGGTTTGAGTTACCTGGACCAGCTCTCTCCAGTACTTTGCTTTCTGATTCAATAAACAACTTTTCAGCTCAGCAAAAGTTTCCAGACAATCCTCTAAAAGGGAAAAAATAAAAGCAAACTTAGCTGTGTCCCCTTGCTGGCTAACAGACCCTGGTTATCAGACCTGTCCTAGGTGTGAGGGCAAGAACAGAGGCCACTGTCACAACCTGGCATGAAGGACTTTGAATGGTTTTTGCCACACTTGCTTTCAGATCAGATGACATCTGCCCAGGCTCATTTCCTCCTAGAGATAAATGCCAAGAACTCATTTTTTTCCCACTGCTGTAATGCTCCCAGGTCTAGAAACAGAATAATTAAAGTTTAAACATTCCTGCCAGTTATTGGATATTTTCCAATAAATAATGATAATTAGCAAATCAGATACACAAATAATTTGCTAATACCACAAGTAGCAATGAAAATCCTAGTAGCTATTGAGAAGTTTTACTAAAGTACAAGATGTTTTCTGTACACTTTCTCTCATCATCACAAAAACTATGCAACAAAGACATCCCCCATTTTACTAATGCAGCAGTGAATTGGAATTTAAACCCAGATCCATCAAGCTGCAAGTTCAGTCACTGAGCAACTAGCTTTACCAAGTACTGATTCCCACTACTTTCCATAACCTTGTTTATATTATCTTCAATTTTCAGAAGAACCCTCATTCACAGGTATTGCTGTAACCCCTATATTACTACTGTAGGGACTGGCATTCAGGAAGGTTAAGTGACCTGTCCACTAGTCCCCAGCTAGTGGGTTGTGGAACAGGATTCAAATTCCAAAGTGTTTCCTCCCAATAATAAAAAAATAGATCCCTTACATTGAGCACTATCCTAAGCTACTGATAACCAGCACAAATCATCCTAAAAGGCAGGAAGGCTTATCCTCATTTTCCATATGAAGAGGATGAGGTTTTCATGGGGGTGACTTGACTTTTCAGGTCACAAAGCTATCAAGAAGCAGAAGGATTTAAAGCCAGGTCTGAGGACTACAAACCCATGTTCTAGCCATGGCAGCAGGCTGCCTTTCCCAAGTCCTTTTAGTAAGTAAGCAGTGTCACTGAAACTGTAGACTAATTTTGAAGGCCCCAATTACAGCAAAGGAGAACACCTGGGATAGCACAAAGGAATGAAGAAAAACAACTTGATAATGTCGTAAGAGGAAGAAAAATATGAGCTGGGGCTGCAAAAGCCAAGATTGTATCATGGATGCACAAAACAGTAAGCATTCTCTATTTTCCAAATAATTATACTCTAATCTAGTTTGCATAAATTGAAATAACGAAATATGCATTAATGGAAACCTAGCAGGAGGAGAGAAGTATACATTGCCAAGAATGCACTAGGTATCAAATGAGAAGTCCAAAATAGGGACTTTCTGTGTGCGATATTCATTTTACTTTTTTTTTAATTTTATATATTTTTACATCATTTTTCATTTTTGCACAATGTATGCATTTTCATCGTGGTTATAGTCCCCATACAATTCCCAGCCCCCGCCCTGTTTTGATCCTTCTCTCTCCTTCCCCCCCCCCATAGTGTGTCTCTGGTTTATAGTTACTTGTTGATTTTGATTTTTACTTTATTATAATTAGTCTTTTTCCTGGTCCCTTATTTAGGTCTTTAGAGTCATCCCTGCCTATATTCTCTCTCTGCTTTCAGTGGCAGTATTCCCCTGCCTCCAACGAAAATGTTGGTTTGGCAGGAAATGAAGAGGAGGTTCCTTTTGAATTCAGAGTATTACCCCATGATTAACTCCTCCCTTGGATCAGAACCTGGGGTCCCCTGCCAAAAAGGCAAACAAAAGAATAAGTTTACAAGACAATATCCTTTCTTTAACATGTTCTAGGTTACAAAGTATTTCCATGTAGGTACATGGAAATTTGATCTTCACATCAGCCCCAGAAAATTTATGTCATAATCTTCATTTTATTGGCAATAAAACTAAAATCCAATTAAGTAACGTGTTCAAGATCATACAGTCAGTAAACACAGACTGGAATTCAGGTATTCTCTGACTAAATCTCTGGTTCCTTCCACAACAGCATTATATCCTAAATTACTTAAGAATCACCCATTTTACTGTACAATGCTGAATTTCTACAGTTACTATTGCAGTTGCTATACTATCATAATTTTCATTTATTTTATTATATAGTTTATTTTTAGACCAATTTTAGGTTCACAGTGGAGTAAAGAGCACAGATTTTCCATAGACCTCCTCCCCAAAACATCCGCTGCCTCCCTAGTATCAACATCCCCTTCCAGAGGGATACATTTGTTAAAATTTATTATCATTTTTTAACTTTAAGGAATCTTCAAATGATGAAAGCATGAGAACAAAGCATGTTCTTATTAGATAAAAGTGAAGAAGATATGCAAATAATGTTCCTACGTTTTATGAGGCTCATACAATGCTTTGGAGAATATACTAAATGTGTTCATGTAATTTCTGACATTTAATTCTCACAACTCTAAGGAAGATATTGTTAGTTTATTTTTATAACTCATGAAACTGAAGCTCACAGCAGCTAAATAATTTACCTGCACTTATAAAAAGAGATCCAGGATTCAAAATACTCCAATATCCGGACCTCCCCGGTGGCGCTGCGGTTGAGCGCTGGGCTGCGAAGCTGCCCGCTGCCCACAGCCTCTGCAGCACCGGTTCGATCACCACCGGTGAGGATCCCACATGGCGCCCAGACCTCTCCTGCTGCGACCGCTGCCCTCAGCAGTGTACTTCGGTCCTTCTGCCTGCTCTGCTCCCTGCTCTGGCTCTGGTGAATTCTCTCACCCTCCTGTGCTTCTGACTGTACCCAGGGCTTGTATAAATAAATAAATAATAAAATAAATCTTAAAAAAAAAAATACTCCAAAACCCGTAGTACTTCCCAGATATTAGGCATCAAGTGTTTGTAAATCCTCTCACTCTTCACTTAAGGTGGGATCACTCCCAGAAAAAATCCCAGGTCTGCTGACTTCCTTGGGAAGCTACCCCCGCCATTAACAATGCCCCAGCCCAGTTTGTTGTTCATTATGTAACACAGGAAAAGGGGGCAATAAACAAGGTGCTGCCAAGCAAATGGAAAATTGAAATGTAACTAAAGGGTCTTGTTAGCATTATTATGGGAACCAGTTTGAATTTCACCTTCCATAGTGCAGGCAATAATGTATTCTTTACTCTTCTGATTCTCAGAGAATCAGAAATCCTTTTGCCATCCACATGTGAACTTCAATCTCTAGCCCATGGTTGAAGTCATTTCCTTTTTCTCATAAGATTGAGTTTCAAAAATGAAGGTAAAGAAGGAGTTGAAGGAGAGGGATGGATGGGGAAGGAGGGGAAGAAGAGGAGGAACAAGGCAATTCTCAATATTCTGGGAACCAGCCTACCTAGGGCTCCTTCAGCCACAATCACAT